CTGGAAAATGTTAACGCCTGTTCACCCTGGTGATCGCTACAGCCCAGTCATGGTGCGTATGCCGCCTCTTGGCTCTAAAATGACCACAGTGTGTCAGATTATTAAAGTTCATATGACTTTGAGCTGAAACAACATGATAATTTCCCTCACTATCTTCACTATACTTATGCAAATGTGTGATACCATCAGGTCCAGCAATCTAAGGTTAAATTTAAGCTGAAAAATACTCCATCGTTTACCTTTTTTAGAGAACTAGATGTGCAGAGTTCAACTGAGGTTTAACTGCATGCAAAACAGCGTACCTTAATCCTCTTTTTGCTTGACAAGACGTTGTAAAGATTTGCTATTTTGTGTAAAAGTTAATCTTCTTTGTTTTTATTCTAATTAAGAGTAAGGGAGTCTAATCTCAGGTATGATAAGAGAAGGAGTTTCTTTTCCCCCTGTGGACACTTGCTGGCACACTCAGTTTCTTCTTCTCTTCAAACAGTAAACACAAATAAGAGCAGAAACAAGCACAGCTACAATAAAGTGAAAATTATTCTTGGATGCTTTTATGCTCAGTGCCTCTACATGAAATCCAGCATCGACACAATGGGATGGTGTACTATAAGTTTCCTATAGGTGCCACAAATTTATGTTTTCTAAAAGCTGTAGTAGACAACTTTGAAGAAATCTGCAGGAGTAAGCTGGATTCAGGCTTCCCCTAAAGCTTTTCCTCTAAAATACAACTACGTGCTCTGCATAACTATGAGTGCAGATTCAGTCTAAAAGAGAGCTTTTAGGAGAGGAGACATGCTGCCCCTGGTTGTTGGGGATTGTCCCCTTTTCAAGCGTGATGCCCCAATGAGTCATAGGCAAATGTCAAAGGCTGTGTCTCATGTGTCTCTCTCTGACAGTCTGTCAGCGTGCTGACTGTTTACTGTCACACTGGAGAGGAAGCGTGCAACAAGAGGCGTAGTTCTCCTTCTGCAGAGTACAGGGCAACAGAAGTTATGCATCTGTGGTGAATGTTCGGTTAAACAGGAGAGTTTTAGAGCTGGAGACAGGGCTATTCAATCACGGCAAATTATGATCGCAATTATTTTATTGATTGGAACAGTATCGACAAAGACCATGCTTTAATTCCTCACCTCATTTCAAGAGCTTTGACTTGATTTTGACAGTAATGCTCACTAAATTAAGTGGCAGATTAAAGGACCTGAACTCTTTCACCGCTTATACTCTATGACAGGCTGCAGATCCAAAACATTATTCAGCTTTTTTAAACCTGCATCTTTGTTTTGACGGGTAATAGGATTATATTTTGGCAGTAGCTCAGGAGGTAGAGCGGTCGTCCAATAACCGGAAGGTTCAATTCCCCCCTATCCCTAGTCTGTTCATTGTGTCCTTGGGCAAGACACTTAACCCACCTTACTCCCAGTGTGTGTCCTCCACTGGTGTATGATTGTGAGTGTTGTGTGGTGGTGGTTGGAGAGGCCACATGTTTCCAAGCACTATATGAAATCTGATGCATAATTATTATTATTATTATATTTCATTGTGATACAGATCGATGTCACTGTTTAGCCTGGCAAATGTTCACTCATTAATGCTCGTTAAAGCTGGTGATCGCTGCAGCCTCTCTCTCTCTCTCGTCATGCTTACACTGTCCCTTGGCTTTTCAGACATGAGCGCACTCACATGGCTGCCTCCTCCTGCTCCTCTCCCTGCTCTCCTCTCTCCACCTGCAGCTGTATGACAGTTTGTACTTTTGTAGCACAACATGTTGAAGATACAGCAGCCCTAAATTAAACCTGTGAATTCCTCAGAAATATTGTTATTGCATCATATTTTTTAGCCACAATAATGAGATAGAAATCTGATATCATGTCAGCCCTATTGCAGACTTGTTACACTGTCACTCAGCAACCATTGACTTTTGCTCTTAAGAAAGTTAATTTTGAAATTTTTAAAAATATTTTTTATTAGAAATGCAAATTTATCCACCGATTATAATTATATCATCCATAATGTTAAAGTTTCTTGTACATTCGAGTCCAGTTTACGCTTCTTTTGTGTGTTGGTGAGTGGAGCATCAAGGTCATTTTGCTGCTACTCTCCTGAAACGTAACTGTTCGCTTCATCTTTTGGAAAACCACTGCTCATTTGCATGCATGCAAATTGTTAAATATCTCGTGTTTTCTTGCTCGCTAAATGATATAATTGGACAGGCTTGGATGATGCCTGTTTTGTTATTATTTCTGATCATTTTTCATGTGTTTGTGTGCAGAGATAATTTGAAAAACAAATATAAAACTGAAAACTGCTCCAGCTTCAAAATAGAATCACTGGCTGTTTCCATGATGTGTCCGTTTTTACCTTTTATTTTGATTTCGTGTCATGCATCCATGTGGGCTCTCACTGTGGTCACCTCTGCTGAAGTTTGGGTGTCTGAGGGCAAACTGCAGTTAGAAAACAGGACAGCTGTCTCGTGTCAGAGCATCAGGATATTCTGTAATAGGATCCTATCCACACCACAGACACTGTTCTACTCTGCTGGAAAAATTGCCTGTCATGACAAATCCAGCCTTGCACAAATCCCTGAAAGCTCCCCCAGCTCCTTCCCTCCCTTTCACCCCCATCATTTTCTCACTGCAGTGTTGTCACCTATTGATTCATTCATCTATTCATCTCATAAACAAGTTGCCCGTGGCTCTTTGCCTTGATTTATTATTATTGTCAGTGCTTTGACTATTCAGTGTGGCCAAGTGGTCATTTCATTCTAGCATTTTAAATGGTTTCCATGAGAACACAAGAGATTGGATTTATGAGGATCGTGCCAGAAATGCAGATTTGTCTGTAGCATCTAACAAGAATGTGATCTACAAGCAGTGAGCTGAAAATATACGTTTGATTTTTGCAAAACAGTTACCCTAGTGTGCCTCATGGGTGTCATGATTTATCCAGGCTGGGGTGCAAACAATCAACACAATGATTTAAAAAAACAAACTTTTTTGACTTCAAAACAGGGTTGGAAATGTTTAAAAACCTGTTCATACCACTGTCCTCTGTCATTGAGCAAAAATTTGTGGTTTCCACTCAAAAGTCTTTGTTTTCCTCTGAACACAAAAGGACCACTTAATACCTCTGGGGTGGTAATGCTTAGTAATTAGGGCAGAAAAGGTTCAAATCAAAGCACACTAAGAATGGCACCTTGTGTATATTTTGAATTATCTTTGTCTTTCCCTGAAAGGATAGAGTGATTACATTTCAGCCCTTTGTGTTGCTGTCATTCTCCCAGCGTGGCACCGTCTCCCTCCTTCTCCAAGCAGCCTCTGCATTGTCATGCCAGCAGATGACAAAATTATATCGACGTGTCTCTTATGTTAATATATTCATGACTGCAGTGTTTAAGTATTGTGTGCAAGCACCGCTCCACCTCCTCCTATCCTATCCTCGTCCCCTCTGCTTCTTCTTCTCATCGCTTCCCAATTTATTTCTCCATCTGCAAAGGAAAACACGGTCTGCTGTGTTCCTGGTGCCAAATACATTTCCAGTGTGGCTGAGGCTCACAGTGGGATTGTGTCATGATTGCCCAAAAACAATCAAACCCGGGCTGTGGGACTGCAGACTGAAGTGGTGCTGCTCTGAGTATCATCATCATCATAACCTTGAAAGACCTTCACTGGCAGAGAGAAGAGAGTCAAGAGGGCTTCGGACGGATACATGTGCAGATAGCGCCCTCTGTTGATCATCCTGGGCAAGACAGAGAAAAGAAGACAGGTATGACTGCAGACTGTACCTTGGAAAGTCAGTTACACATACATTATAGTTCCTTTTGCTAAAATAATAATTGATCTCACATGTCTGGACATCCCCAACGTTTTTTGTTCTGGAAAAAACTTGGCAAAATGAGAATTTCCTAAATCTCACATGATTGGAATTAGTGATGGGCATGGCAGTACTTTTAGATGTACTGAATCACTAGAATCAGTTCATTAAAAAGATTCGTTCAACAGATATGTTCACCGAATCACCGAATCATTCAGCGCTCGGCGGGAGGAGCTGACTTCCTGAACTGATACACAGCTGAATGGTTCAGAATTCAGTTCAATTCAGAGCTTCTGGGACCAGGAGACGAGAGTGTTGAGGCTGTGTTGCTTTGACGAACAGGTTTGTTAAAATAAACTAGTCATGATGTTTTAAGTGTACTGTCCAATGATTATGCTATTTATCTGGTCTACTCTCTAAATTGGGCTCAGTGAGTGATATCCCTCAGAAAAAAATGATTCCAGAGAGTGTAGCTCACTGTGTGATCCGTTCACCAAGTGATTCAGGCATCAGCGGGTGCGGTCCGTCTCTCAACGGCTGCTCGCCCAGCAATGTTGAGTGCTATGGCAGCTGCGTTGCTGACAGCTTAACTGAAGTGAGAAACGAACGAATTACTTAAGAAAGTGATTCAGTTCAGTACGTTCACTTAAAAGATTCGGTTCTTTTGAACGAATCATTCACAAACGACACAAAACTAATTGGAAGAGGATCTCACTGTCAGTGTGGTGCCTGACAGTGCACTTGTGATTTTAGTTTTTGCTCTAATTATTAGATATTGATCTAACCGGGTCAACAGCGACACTAACACGTCAATTGCCATCATTCTAAAAAGAACATTTTATAATTTAGTCAATTTAATTTTTTATTTTTATTTTGTTAAAATAGAGGTTCCTGACAAAGTCAAAAGGTCTTGATGCCAAAAAGCTAATTTAAGTGGTTCTTTTAAGCAGTTAAATACGAAAACGGGTCAGTGCAGACTGTAACACATGAAAGGGTTAAATTTTGTTTTTATCCTAGTTTTATGCCTTGATAAAAGTGTTAATTACTTTTATAAATATTGTGTTTTATTTTGAAGGGCCCGGATTCCTCCCCTTACTTCCGTGTTTGCGTCTGTCCTGCTGCGTGTTCTTTCCTCGCCTTTTCTGCAGCTTCAGAGTCTCTTGTGTTGCGAATTTTCTTAGCTAATCACCATGTCTTTGGAGGTGGAATCAGCAGAGTAAGTAGCCCAGCTAAAAAAATGATCATTTCTTTGTCATTTGTGTGATAAAATCCCTCCTAACATCACATTAGATCGCAGTTTTAATGAGTGAGGCCTGGTTCATCCTTTACCTTTGGCGCTGAGCTAAGCTAAAAGCTAACTCGGAAATGTGGTAATTTCATGGATTTTTTTCTGCTTTATTATCAAGAGTATGTCGTATTATTATAACAGGGAAGTTGTGCTGTTATAAATTGTTCTGTTTAGAGTTAAAGTGAGGGTATATGAAGGGGCAGATGAAGTTAGTTAACGGTAACGTAACCTAATGTAGCCGAGAGGCAGCCAGATTCTGATCTAATCAGGGATATAAAGTGGGAAAAGTATATTTCAAAGCTGAAATTTAGGGTAAAAATGAAAGAGATTATATGTAAATTTAAGAGGTTTCATTTGTCCTGACTCTAAAGTCACTAAGATAACCGGTGACAACCATGTTGGTAATGTTAAAATGACTTGATCTTATTTGTGAGGTGTTTGAGTTCCCAAGAATATAACTGTTCTAAACAATCAGATATGAACTTTTTATTGTCATTTTGTTTATGTTGTTTTGTTAATTTTTACCAGAACCTGCTCTCATGTCCATTTTGAATCTTATGTTTTGTTAACTCAAGTTCCCTGTCATCTATACCGTTCAAGTATACATCAACTTCTCATAACTGTTGGGACAAGCGAGCTTTTTCCCTACAGCAGTCATGTAACATCATACTGACGGGTGTCTTTTCTGTCTCCGTTAGCGTGATCCGTCTGATCATGCAGTACTTGAAAGAGAATAGCCTGCACCGGACTCTGGCGACTCTGCAGGAGGAGACCACGGTGTCTCTGAACACTGTGGACAGTATCGAGAGCTTCGTGGCAGACATTAACAGCGGCCACTGGGACACTGTCCTGCAAGCTATCCAGTCCCTCAAGCTGCCAGATAAGACCCTCATAGACCTCTATGAGCAGGTGAGATATGTGAACATGTTATCTTTAACTCTGTTGCTCTTTATGAAGTGAGGAGAAGCTGGTTCATGATTCCTGGAGTCACTTTGCCTCTAAATCTGTCTTTGTTGTTTCCTGAGCAGGTTGTGCTGGAGCTGATCGAGTTGAGAGAGTTGGGTGCAGCCCGTTCACTCCTCAGACAGACCGACCCCATGATCATGCTGAAACAGACCCAACCGGAGAGGTACATCCACCTGGAGAACCTGCTGGCTCGCTCTTACTTTGATCCCAGAGAGGTGAGTCCAAACAAGACCAACGTCATCTTAGGGAAACTGATACCAAACATACAGATAAACGAACTTATTAAAACCGTTATCATTATTTAGTTTTGTTCGTTGTGTTTCTTGTTCTCCAGGCGTATCCAGATGGCAGCAGTAAAGAGAAGCGGCGTGCCGCCATCGCACAGGCCCTGGCAGGGGAGGTCAGCGTGGTACCGCCCTCTCGTCTCATGGCTCTGCTGGGACAGGTAAGCTTCTCTATAACCTGCACCTCTCGTGATGTTTACTCTCGACACAGAGACTCAACCCTAAAGGCTAATAGCAGCCTCATTATTTGTACTTATGCCTGATAATCAATGAGCTGTTTTTATGTTTGTGTTCTTCTCCTTTAGTCTCTGAAGTGGCAGCAGCACCAGGGTCTCCTGCCTCCTGGTATGACCATCGATTTGTTCAGAGGTAAAGCTGCTGTCAAAGATGTGGAGGAGGAGCGATTCCCCACCCAGCTCAGCAGACACATCAAGGTACAGACGCTGGAGAAACAACCTTACAAACCTGTATTTCACTTTCCTGGAGGGTTTCGATTTGAGTTGTTTTTGTTCTCTGCACAGTTTGGACAGAAATCTCATGTGGAGTGTTCCCGGTTCTCCCCTGATGGTCAGTATCTGGTCACTGGTTCTGTGGACGGCTTCATCGAGGTCTGGAACTTCACCACCGGCAAAATCAGAAAGGTAGCGCATTTCAAATGAAGACCCAAACACCACAATCGCTGTCTGGTTGAATATGACCCCACCTCTCCCACTCCTTCATTTCTAAATAACTCATAATCTTAAAAAAAAATTAATGTCTACTTAACGTCTCCTGCAGGATCTGAAGTACCAGGCTCAGGATAACTTCATGATGATGGACGATGCCGTGTTGTGTATGTGCTTCAGTCGAGACTCAGAGATGTTGGCAACCGGAGCTCAGGACGGAAAGATCAAGGTGAGGCGAAACGGTTTACTTTTGTTCCCCTCATGCTTTCATATCCTCGGTTTATTTTATTGTGAACCTCTCAAAAAAGGCTGGTTTGTGATCCATGAAAAACACAATAGTCCATTTGATATCCAAACACCTGACAGTTCTAGCAAATTGCCTTTTCCTTTCCTGACACTCAAAACGATTATTTCCTCAATGATTTTTCTGTCATCTCAGGCATTTTCCTCCTTATTCAAATACCGTGGATGTCTTTGTTCCTATTGTTGTGAATTGCAGAAATTAATCTTTTCAGACTCAAAGTAATGTAAGCTTTTCTTGAATGTGTGTGTGCAGGTGTGGAAGATCCAGAGCGGTCAGTGTTTGAGGAGATTTGAACGTGCGCACAGTAAAGGAGTAACATGCGTCAGTTTCTGCAAAGACAGCAGTCAGCTCCTCAGCGCCTCCTTTGACCAGACGATCAGGTAAACAAACAGACACCTTCACTTTGATTCATCACTTTTATTCTCAGGGGTGTGTTTCTCTGGGTTTATGACTCTAATGACATTCACTCGTCCACGTGGATGGTTGTTGGTTTTCAGTGTGCAGTACTGGTGGTTTGTTTACATCTCCTAAGCCGCTGTACTTCAAAGTATGTCACACATGTCCGTCAGCTGACAGATAAAGACTCAGATGTTGCTATGGTAAAACTAGCTTGACTTTTTGCAGTTTAAGACCCCCTGTAATTTTTCAGGTACCAGATGTAAACTAAGAAAGTTAGATGTAAAAACAAAGTTCACTAAGAGGAAAAAAGGAAGCGTCTTAAACATCAGGAAATGATGCAGAAATGACACAGTTGGTGCAGAAAATAAAACCAAAACTCATCACTGTTATTGTTTTAGCTTACAGGAACCCCCCCCTAAATGCACATTTTTCTCTCGTTGTTGTAGAATCCATGGTCTGAAGTCAGGTAAAACCCTCAAAGAGTTCAGAGGTCACTCCTCATTCGTAAATGAAGCCACCTTCACTCCAGACGGCCACCACATCATCAGCGCGTCCTCAGACGGGACAGTCAAGGTGAGAGTGGAAGCTGCAACATCTCCATGAATCCCGCTGATACGCGGTTTGTCCTGTACCTCATCTCTCTGTCTCTGGATCTGCTTCAGGTGTGGAACATGAAGACCACAGAGTGCTCCAACACCTTCAAGCCTCTGGGCACATCAGCGGGCACAGACATCACAGTGAATAACGTCGTCCTGCTGCCCAAGAACCCGGAGCACTTTGTCGTGTGTAACCGCTCCAACACGGTGGTCATCATGAACATGCAGGGACAGGTCAGTCTATGTTTGGATCACTCTGTTATCTGCTAACAGAGGGACAGCAGGTCGCTCTGCAGCCTTCACCGGTTTGATCACATTTGGTATTGATTGTGAATCTAGTCGTTGTTTTAGGCTGATTGTGATTTCTTTTTCATACGGAGAAGTGGACGACAAACTGGTGTAGCTTTTTTTAAGGTGTTTGCTTTTGCTCCGTTTTCACCCACCTGCTTTCTACAGATCGTGAGGAGTTTCAGCTCCGGTAAGAGGGAAGGTGGTGACTTCGTGTGCTGCACTCTGTCGCCCCGCGGCGAGTGGATCTACTGCGTGGGAGAAGACTTTGTGCTTTACTGCTTCAGCACAGTCACCGGCAAACTGGAGAGAACACTGACGGTGCGTCTCTGAACTTGATCAAACTTCACATCATGTTCCCTCCTCTGCTTCTGCCTCAAAGTCCTGACTTCAGTTTTCTTTTTTTGTTTTATCCAAACCCTAAAAGTGAGACAGAAGTAGATCTTTAAGTGAGCTGCAGTTGAACAGGATAAGAAAGAGTTGTTAAAGCTGCCTTATTATAGAGATAAATATCCTCCTGCTCATTTTTGCGCCTCCTCTCTCCAGGTCCACGAAAAGGACGTGATCGGTATCGCCCACCATCCCCATCAGAACCTGATCGGCACCTACAGCGAAGACGGTCTGCTGAAGCTCTGGAAGCCTTGATGGGCTGATTTTGAGACTGATATTAGACGTCCACGCTGGTCATCTTCTCTCCTCACTCTGAACGACACTCGGGAGGTTTTTTTTTTTTTTGAGTACGAGACACGAACCGAGTTTGTGGTACACACACCTCACGACGAATAACCAGCTGCAGATTTGAATAGAATAACATTTGAACCTGGTGCTGCAGGTTCTTGTTTGGATCAGAGAATCTGAAATGCTTTAAAGTTACACCCTCAAACTTGCTTCAGTTTCTCCAAACATAAAGTTCTGCTGTTTGACACCGAACCTCTACAGACATGAACTTCACAGTGAGAAGGTCCCCGTTTGGAGAGGGGAGTCTCCATGTTTGTCTCAGTTTTTGTTTTGAAAATTCCTCTTTTGTAAATATATTTTTTATCTGCCTTGTTTTGTTTAATTTTTAAGAAGACCTGGTTAAATAGTGTGTGCTTGATTTTGTCCCTTTCTCTTCTTCTGTAGCTCCTCAAAAGATTTGAACGTCGTTGCCCCAAAGTTATGTCATGTATGTTTTTTGGCCGAATCACTCAAATAAAGCTGATGTCAGGGATTTCTCCCAATCTGATCTCATACATCCACTAGATTTACACATTTCCCCTGTAACATGTCTGATCTAAAATAAAGCTGTTTAACCAGAGAGAGCTGTGTATGAGAAGAGCATCTTTAAACGACGATAGCCTGTGGCTTTATGGGATGAGAATATGGTGCGAAACCAATCGGAAGCTCTCTTTACGGAGAGCTCAAGCGTGAAATGAGATGAGGAATATTTCCAGCCATGCACACCGAGAGTGGACTGAGTTTGATCCCTGAGTAAACTCCGGTGGGACGGTTGTCGGTACAGGAAGTCTGCAGGAAAAAAAAGGATGAAGTCAGCGAACAACTGACGCCTCAGATTCACCAAAACTGAAAAAGTAAAAGCACGATGATACGACAGGGACTCGCTCTGGGTAACAGGAAACTTCAGTCACCTTTATAAAAACAAGCTCTGAAGACTGAGCATCTTTGTATCAGGTAAATGTTTATGTATTGATAATATTTGGGAAAGTCAGCTGAGATCTGCCTCCTGAAACTATTACAAGCTTTTCTTTCAGTTTCTTTTAAAGCTACTAAATGGATAATTTAACATAAACAGCTGAACACACCCTTCACTTCAAACTCTTATTTTGTAGGTCCATGCCTGGAAGTTGCTCTTGCTCCATGCTGGTGGACTTGTTGGAGGTTCACTGTATGCCCGAGAAGCTGAATGAGAGTTCAGAGTAAAAAGAGTTCCTGCAGGGGAAAGTTACTATGGCAGGATTTCTGCACTTCTCTCTGCTTTTATTTCTGGATCTCGGATCTTTTAACTTAATTTCAGCTTTTCCTGGTAATGACACAACTACTGTGACTCTAGATGCTGCTTTTACTACAACTGAGAGTTTTTTATCTACAGGGAAAACAAACTCCACTCAGGGTCCCACCACAGGATTCACAAGGAGTTTTAGTGAGTCAACAACTGAACCTCCAAAAACCACCACGACTGCTGGACATCGGAGTGAAGATGCAGGTAAAAGAAAGGAGGAAAAGGTTCCCACAAAGGAGGAAGATGACGGTCCTCTGGAGTTAGGTGAGTGGAAATGATCATACATCGAAGATTAAATCATCTGTGGGGATTTACAGTGTTGCTTTCAATAAAGATTCCACAGTTTTACACATGAACCTTTAAAACCTTCAGACAGTATATGTTATTGCTTCTTTTATTGATCTTTTACTTGTGCTTTTTTGGAAAGAGCAGCCATTCTCATCTATAAAAAATGTGTTTTTGAAGCCAGACCAATAGGTTTGTGGTTTTATGTGTCTTATTACTTTTCCCATAAAGAGAAACAGGCGAGTTTAAAGTGTTATTACCCAAACAAACACAACCACCCCTGAAAGTTAGAAATAAAAAGGTTTAATTTGAAAAGTCTGTTTCTGTAAATGAAGTTAATCTCAACAATTCCAGCCTGTGGAGTCCTGGGAATAAGAAATATTCCTGGCATTCCTCCAACCAAACCAAAGCATGTCAAAGGTCAGATGTCGTTTAGTCCATCACGCACTGATAAAGAAGTTGCACAGAGACCCCAGGACCTAAACAGCATAATTCAGCATCTCTTTAATAGATTTCCAGAGCGCAGCAGAGCTCTGTGGGTCTCTGCATATCTGCGGTCAGAGAGTCAGTGTCCGAGGGTTGGGGGAGGATGTTCCAGTCTGCTCTGTGCATGTGTGTGTGTTTTTTACTGATGGAAACCAGATGGTCTGTGTGATTCAACAGACTAAAGGAAAAAAAAAAACAGAGGAACAAGACCCCTCACAGTCCTCTCAGTGATCTCTTAAAGTCGCTCATATAGACATACATTCAGCGTTACAGTCAGTGAAGCTGTGGCTGCAGCCCAGCGACTCTAATGTAAACAGATTCAAACTCCCAAAAACCCAAAACCTCCATCCTGGCCGCAGTTACATAATTCCAGTCTCCTGTATCCTAAAGAGTTGGTTCATGTGCTTTTATTTACTTTTGCATTAGTTGTTAATTTTGCACCAGCTACTGTGAATTTCCCGACTCAGATGCCGTGCGCCGCTTCTTTGACACGTTCTTGCCACAATGCAGAAAATGGTTTGCTATTTTCTAGAAAGGAGGACGACCAGGAGCGTTAAGGTAGCAAAGAAGGCCAAAAAGGTCCTGAAGAAACCCAAACCCACCCCCAAGAAGCCAAAGGTGATAAAGAAAACCAAACCTCAGCTCAAAAAGAGCGTGAGCCGGTCTGCGGCCAAGAAGACAGTCCCACGTATGTACAGGGAGTATGCAGCATGTCAATCAGACGAGGGTCCGAATGAGTGGGAAATAGTTTTAGGTTCATTGACTTGCTTTGAACATGTGCGGCTCACTGTATCGTAACAATCCAGGTGGTCTCGGCACTGTTCTAAACAATTAACACAGTCCATCCATGAGGTTTAACGGGAGAATGGAGGATCTGTGGGACCCCCTGAACTGTCGGCCGATACAGACCCGCATGAGAAAGCATCAGACAAACCATAAAACTATTCATTTAGATCCAGATCTGATTCATGTTTGCCTCCACATGCTGCGTATCCTAACCTTTAAACTACCAAATATTGAGTCGGTCTGTTGATACAGTGATAAACACTTTGCAAATATTCCTGTTTATTCCATACTAATACTTTATTAACAAACGAGTCGTAGTGGCTCCAAGTTACTAATCCTATGTCATGTCAGATGTTCTTGAATGCATCACAGGAAACCAATCTAACTGACACAGTTTTCACCAGGATAAACACAAAAACCGCCAAGGACCGCCAAGTTGTGAAAGAAGAGTTTGTTGAGTGTGTGTCCCAGATCCCCAGGCAGGTCCTCTAAGGTTAAGACACATTTCTGTTTCTGATATCAATCTACTGAAGACACCTTGGGCTTGTTTGGTTCTCAGGTCCAAGTTTCAGGCTCCAGAGAGCTGAAATGCTCTCCCGGTTGCCTGGCCTTGCAAAGTCTGTTATGTTATGTCCTGAGAGTTGTTGTAATTGCATTCACATATGCACACTGGACTGGGAAATGAGCCAACTGTGGGAGTTTGTGTATATAGCTCTTGTACAAACTCTAAAATGGATGTGAAAGAGGTGAGGAGTCAAAACAGAGATTAGCTTGTGGAGGAAATAAACTCTTAGTGAGGAACGTTTCAGGTCTTCTCATTTGTGCAGGAGTCATTTCACTGTGAGCGAGATTCCAGACGAGCCTCCATGCTGAGGGGATAAGTAAGTGTGTGAAAATTTAGTGCCGTATTATATAACCTCAACAAACTGAAATGATTGTGGTGTTGGTCGAATGGTTTGGTGGACACGGTTCTTTCTTTTGTGGAGATCCATTAACACTCTGTAAAAGCCTCCAAATCTGCTGAATGACCTGTTTAATGACGATGTTATGTCTGGATTACTTCTTTCTTGTCACGATCCTATCTCCACAAGTGGATTTTTCTGTGGATTGTGTCTAGTTTTTGGTTGTTCTTCAGTTCGCCTGTGTGTTTTGTGTTTCCCCCTCCCCCGGTAACCACAGAGGCTGCACACCTGTGTTCACTGATCATGGAGCACCTGCTGAGTGCAGCAATTAGGTTATATAGGCGGGAAAACGCCATTGTTCATCGTCCCCTATTGAAATCCTTGGCCTGATTTGTCAAATAGACTTCGAGATAATTATTCTCTCAGCCTTTTAATTTGTCTTTTCCTCTCAGTCAGAGTGATTTTGGTGTTTTCAGTTTAAGTTTTGAACTTAACTTTGTTCGTTTGCAAATCTGCTTCTGGGTCCACAACTTCCCCTCGTGTCATTTCTGGATTCTGGGGTGTAAACACTTTTAAGTACAAAACACTGTTTCATACAAAGCAGACAACAATAGAGAGAAAAAGTGTTTTATGCATCACAACCATAGACTGTATATACTATGGATAAACCAGTCTTACTTTAACGACATGTCAACATCGCAAATGGGGGAGAAAAATTATATTCTGTGTAATAAATTTCTAAAGTTTGTCCACAGCTCCATAGGGATTGCTGGATTGCAGGGTTTTTGACCTATACTGCAGCCTGTCAACAGAGGGTGCTGTTCTCAGAGTGACTTCACCCAGCGAGGAGGCAGGCGGCGTCCATTCTATATACAGTCTATGATCACAAGTCTCCACACGATTCACGATCACTAAGTCCTCTCAGGTTTTGCCCTCAAACATCAAACTCTTGGATTCCTCATCAGGAGAATTCATTCACCCTGATAATCAGCTGAGTTTGGGGCTTCCCGTGTCCAAAACCTGATTTTTTTTCCTCCTCCGGGCATCCCTGTCAGTTTGCCAAACCTCTCTGGCTCGTCTTCAGTCATTTCAGAGGTTTGTGGTTTGGCAGGAGTCCCTTCTTTGGTCACTTCTACTACAAAGACATCACAGAGATTAGTGTTTAGAGCCGGCTGGACTACAAGGTAAAAAAGGGGGAAGAGGTGGCAGAATGAAATGCCACCTACTTTCAGCGTTTATTTTCTGCCTCTTTACTTCAGCCAGAGACTTTTTAACAGCCAGTAAAGCTTTTCTGGCAGGAGGAAGCTGTTTGAACCCAGCTGAACCCTCCAGACAATGAGGGACTGTATGAGGTTTTAATATAGCAGCAGAGGACGCTGCACAAGGTTAGAAACATTTCAAATTGGCTGTTTAATTTGACTTGATTTGAAGTCTGTGTATCGCGTTATTGAAAATACTCAAGGATTAAGAAAAACCCTTAAAAATGATGTTTTCTCAGATTGTGGTGGAGAACTGCTGGTATTACATAACATGAAATATCACAAGACTGAAGTTTCTCCCTCTTTCCTGTGCTTCATATTTGCTCTGATCCCCCACTGAGTGAAGTTTGTGTGCATATATATTCTCAGTACTATATATGCGCATGCAAGTGTATGCATTTGCATAATTGCAGTGGAAACTCTGTGCAAACCTGCAAACATAGTGCTGTTCAGCTCCACTCAGGAAGACAGAGGGGTGATCTGAGCAGAGGTGATGGTTCCATGAGGTTTTTCCTGATTTAAGCTCAAACTTGAAATCAGATGGATGCTAAATTCAGCATAAATCAACACAGATACGAGTCTCTTATTTTACATTGCATGCATTAAATTTTTACATATGTATTAATAGTTCAGAGCAAAACTTCAGCTTCCAGTCAGTGAAGGCTTTTCAGCAAAAAGACTCCCAAAGGTTCGATCCAGATGCACCTACTTTCAGCCTCAAGACTAGAACTTCTGTGTTTGATTTGGTGCATCCATAAAGCCAAAGTCTGACCTCTGAAACTCTCACCTCTTCTTCTCTTGCCTCCCCGCCCTCTACTCTTGTTGTTAGTTAATATAAGATGGTGACTAAATCTCTGTTTTCTGTGTCAGAATGTCCTCCGCTGGGTCTGGAGTCTCTAAAAGTCAAAGATACCCAGCTGAGAGCGTCGTCCTATAAGCGCAGAGGTCTGGGCCCCCACAGAGGTCGACTCAACATCCAGGTATTAACATCTGCTGACAGCTAACCACAAACCTCATTTACTCTTACTCAACATCCGTGAGAGTGTCTGCTGTGTGTTTGTGTGTCGCAGTCTGGGATAGAAGATGGAGATATCTACGATGGAGCCTGGTGTGCGCAGTACAGAGACACCAAACAGTGGCTGGAGGTGGACGCTCTGCGACTCACTCGCTTCACCGGGGTCATCCTTCAGGGACGAAGCTCCATCTGGAGGTCAGAATTGAAGGTTCATAACCATCGAGTGTCAGAGGGAGCGCTTGGAAATGTCTGAGCACAGATATAAAATGTTTAAGTCACTTTTATTATCACATGGTCTTGGTTTGACAACACTCTGTATTGAGACTTTAAGCTCTGCTGCAAGATTGTTCAGTTTGAATATAAACCAAAGAAGTTAAAGTGTCTCGTTCTCACACAGTTGGGATGTGGTGCACTCCTACAAGGTGCAGTTCAGTAACGACTCACTGGCTTGGAAGCCGTGCATGAACGGGACAGAAGAGGCTGTGAGTGAACTTCACTTTTTTGTTTTTTTTTTCCCTATAATTCTGTATTAGTGTTTTTATTTATTTATCCTTTATACTGAAATTAAAGCTCCTGTGCCTCTTCTGTAACTTAGATGTGACATGGATGTAGATGACAGTATCATCCGCATAGAATTATATTTCATTTACAAAGAGAGAGAACAGAATAGGACCCAAACTAGAGCCCTGGGGGACACCTTTTTGTATATTTTCTAAACTTTCACATTTCTCTGTGGTCCATATTGGTCTGATATTCAAGCTACTGGCATCCCACATCCTTTTTCTATTTCTCAAGGCTTTTAAAAGTTCTAACAGCTTGTGGTTAAACTTTCTCTTTCTTTAAAAATCTTCTGTAGCAAGTACGTTTTTTTTTAAAGGAAACAGAGATAGACAGACTATTTTTCAAATCACTTAACAATCCTTTCCACATGAAATACATATATAAATGTATTTAAATGCCACATGTTGATTTCAAAGTCAGTTTATGATAAAAAATATTTATAAACCACTCCAACAAGGGAAAGTTTGATTGCTCGGGTTGTTGAAAGAAATTATACAAACTATTAGCTTTTTAAAAAATCTGACAAATATAAAAACAAAGAAATAGATGGGGTTAATTCATCATAACACCACAGTACTGACATCAGTACAGCACGATTTGGTAAAAAGTTTGAAACTCCTCAGAAGTTTGGTTACTCTGTTTGCCTATAACTGGTTTGGATGTTTGGCAGTCTCGGTTTGGTTTGTGTATTTGGGTGGTTATGAGGCATGTGCTCCACAGCCACAAATGGCCAAGAGGTGTCAGTCATGCAGAGATTTCTTTTTGCACATGGATAATCAGACTTTGACTGGATTTCATCACGTTTTTGTCTTGATATGTAAGAATTGGCGAGATATCTTATATTTTACAACATCATGTCATGCTGCAGATATTTGAAGGAAACCAGGATTCAGAGACGCCCGTCCTCGCCCTTTTCAACACTTCCACTGTGGCCCGTTACATCAGGATTAACCCGCAGACCTGGTACGAGAACGGCACTCAGGGTGCCATCTGCCTGAGAGCCGAGGTGTTGGGCTGCACCGTTCCAGGTAAGACGAGCCGACAACTAAACACAAATATTCTGTGTTGATTTAAATCTGTTCCCTTTTAGTCACTTCATCTTGCACCTCTACTGATTTTCAGATCCCAATAATATTTACCCGTGGCAGACAGAGCCAGCAGGGTCCAAAGACAAGCTGGACTTCAGACACCACAACTACAAGGAGATGAGAAAGGTTTGTCTCACAGTGATGGTTTCACAGCATAAAGATGTCAGATTCTCACATTTCTGGGCTAACAGTGTTTCCCTAATCTCTAATTTCTAATCCCCATCCCTCATTTTTAAATTTGACAAGCCTACCTGTTAGTCCTGAGCCGAGGGATCTCCCTCAGTGTGTGTGTGTGTGGTCTGGTTTTACTCCAACCCAAAGCTAATATTATGAGAGGTTTCACTCTCATGGCGGTATCCTCACTGTGCTGTCACTACCTGCGGTCTGTTCGGAGACGCCACGCTGCATCTGAAGGTCTGAAAACTGCCCACAGAAACAAACAGGGATCCACGTTCCACATATGGAGACACAGTCCGCATTAATATCTGCCTGCAGACTTGGGGACACAAGATAGATTCATACACTACAAATCTGTGCAGCCTCAGTTACCTTTCCTAAGTGGCACCGCATGTCAGATACGTGTGTACAGTAAATATGCATGTTGTCTCTCTCCAGCTGTTTAATCTAATAAAGGCAAAAATGCCAGAAAAAAGAACAGAAAACAACTGTAATCCTGAGGAGACTTGAAAAAGCTTAAAGGGATATTCCGGCGTAAAATTAATTTAGGGTCAAACACACCATAACACCGAGTTAGACACCCTGTTTCTTTATAATTTCCTTAAAATAATAATCACCATATTAATCGACCATAATTAATTTGTCAACCAAGACATGCATCAGCCAAAAATACCATACCTGTGACCTCATTGTAATAACATCCACTTTTCATGAATCGGATCAAGGCTGTAAAACAAAAGTCCTCTGACCACCGTCACTGTAAGTATTCCTGCTTGTTACAGTCTTTTGTTTTTGCTCACCAGCTGATGAAGTCGGTTCACGAGGCCTGCCCGGACATCACCCGCATTTACAGCATCGGGAAGAGTTACACTGGGCTGAAGCTCTACGTCATGGAGATCTCTGACAACCCTGGAAAACATGAACTGGGTGAGACACACTGGAAATATGCGGGAGGCGATTTCGTTACAGGAGAAGAATGAGAGGCTATGAATTGAAAAAGGACTTTAATAACGATGAATAAAACTTAACATGCATCCTTCTTTATCTAAGAGGTTGGAGGGGGGACCTCTAAAACTACACACAGTCCTTCACTGTGTGACACATAAACTCATACAGACCAGAGAGCGGCTCGGTTTGCTCTGAGGTGATGAACAAATGTTTTCTTTGGCCTCTTTGACTCGTCTCACATGGACAGGTTTTCCCGCCAAAACTAATCGCAGAGAAAGCTGCAGAGAGGAGCCGAGGGAGAGAAGAGGACCATGTCCATGCTGCCAGACTCTTAAACTTGTATTCAGTGACACATTGGATCCCATAAAAAACACTTTAGGTTCAAATTTAATCCAGATTTTAATTTCTGAGTAACTTACAGCACACTTATTTAGCTGCTTTGAGGTTATTTACGTCCAAACAGATTAAAAGATTGTAAGGAAATGAAACCGTCCATTCAGACTTTGTTAGAAACATGTTAACTAAACTAATAAATCAAGAAAAAAGAAGGCACGCATATTTGAAGTTTAAAGACCCCAACTGAGAAAAACTCAAACTTAATTTGTGAGACAGCGTTTTGTACAGTTTAGTTTCTTAAAATGTCAGACTTACAGATAATTGGTACAATCATCATTTTTTCCCTCCAGTCTGTGACCTGATTTATTGTCCACCTCAGAGTCTTTTTTCCTAGCAGCGTTTTAATGTCCCATGTGTTTTCTGTATTCATTCGCCCTTTTGTTGGTTAGAGCTAGAACTCTTTGGTGAAGCAGTCGAATACTTTCCTCTGTTTCAACACTTCTGTCATTTCATGAGCGTTCGCCGCAGTTATGTCACCTTTAAATAGTGCGGGGCTGAAACTCTTAATTTAAAATTCACTCACTGCAGAAAACGGGAGGCAGATGATGTGTGCAAAACAAGTCTCGACAAACCATCCAGCGTGTGAGAAAGTCACAGAGTTGGGCTAACAGTCCTCCTCATGAAGAGCTGTGAGGAGGATGTGTGAGATTTCAGAGCTGCCTGTCAGTTTAGTTTACGCAGAGCAAACAGGAAACAGATCTGGGTCTTTCACAGGGTCGGATTTTACAGGAGATATTATGAATGCACAGACTGTGGACATGTGTCAAACTTTAGGAGAAGTCTGTTTTAGATTTTCAACTGTGGTATCTCTGAGTTTGCAAACTTTGACTTTGAAAAACGTTTTTAAAAAATCCTTTAACATATAGGATCCAAATCAGTGCTCTTAAAGGGATATTCTGGCGTAAAATTAAGTTAGGGTCAAACACACCGTAACACCGAGTTAAACACCCTGTTGAGAGACGAATGTTGCCGACCACTTGCTTCCCTAGTTACACCAACTTTAGTGTCGACTGCAGGATAGCAATACACAGCAGTCTGAGGAGCCATAAACAGACCTTAACCAAAACGCCACTCTATAGCCACAAATAATGCTCAGAACAGCACCTAACTTCATCAACAGTATATATAGGGTCCCAGCCATAGTACTAGCCACCAAACATCTTATTAAGTTGACTCATTTCTTTATCAAAGAGACTAAACACAACTCACCAACTCTCTTCCAACAGCCGCTTGTTTGTAGCGAGACCTCAGGTCAGTCCATTACAGACTACAGCGAGGGGATGCAACTCAAGGAAGTATTGCTATCCTGCGGCCGTTACTAAAGTTTAGTAGTAGTAGTCGTTTATTCAGTCATGAGTCTAACTTGGTGTTGTGGTGTGTTTGACCCTAACTTCATTTTATGCCAGAATATCCCTTTAACTGTCTACTTATGTTTGTGTTTGGCGCCCCCTGCAGGAGAACCAGAGTTCCGCTATGTTGCAGGGATGCATGGGAACGAAGTCCTGGGCCGAGAGCTTCTTCTAAACCTGATGCAGTACATGTGTGAGGAGTACAAACGTGGTGATCAGCGAATTGTCCGGCTCGTTCAGGACACTCGTATCCACCTGCTGCCCTCCATGAACCCTGACGGTTATGAGCTGGCCTTCAAAAAGGTGCCAAGAAACAAACTCAGTCTAAGATAGAGTCGTAGTCCTCATGCTGGATCCAGATTTGAGACAAGGTCACTTTTTTTCTGTCCTCCTCAGGGTTCAGAGTTGGCAGGTTGGGCTCTGGGTCGGTACAGCTATGAAGGTATCGACATGAACCATAACTTTGCAGACCTCAACTCAGTGATGTGGACGGCCATCGAGTATGAAACGGACAAGTCAAAACTCATCAACCACTACTTCCCCATCCCTGAGATGTACACGTCTGAGGAAGCTTTTGTACGTCCATGAGCATTTTATATATTTATTATTTTTAATACAAGTCAAAACTATAATTTTCTGGTTCTTCTTCTCCTCCAGGTGGCATCAGAGACCCGAGCCGTCATCAGCTGGATGCAGGACATCCCATTTGTCCTGGGTGCGAACCTCCACGGTGGAGAGTTGGTGGTCACGTACCCGTATGACATGACCCGGGACTGGGCTCCTCAAGAGCACACGCCCACCTCTGATGAGAGCTTCTTCCGCTGGTTGGCCACAGCGTACGCCAGCACCAATCAGGTCGACTCTCCTCCACGTGTCACATCCTCATGTTTAAAACATCTTCAGGACTTGATGATAACAGTTCGCACTCTTGATCCTCTTTCCTCTGATATAACCAGGTGATGTCCAACCCGGACCGCCGGCCGTGCCACAACAAAGACTTCCTCAGATACAACAACATCATTAATGGAGCTGAGTGGCACAACGTCCCAGGAAGTAAGAAAATGTGTGATTTTCAGAGTACCTGATCTGAGCCAGTGGGATTTACGAGAGAAATTCATCAAGACTTCGGATCAATAGATCATAATTTTATCCTCGTTTACACAGTTTAGCATTTTAAACCTCGTGTTCTGGCTGTCAGGCCAACTTTAAACCTCTGTATTTTGATCAGAAGCTCACCTAATAGATGCTTGAGTTATTTATTGAATCTCTGTTTGACTAAGAAATAAATAAAATGCTTTATTTTAATATTTGACAGACTCAATAGCTGCAATTCTACAGAATCCAGCTGCAGTGAAATAAGACACTGAGACAACGGTTCAGATTACGTGAGCATGCAGAAAGTGACAGATTAAAGGTACAGTGAGTGACATTTAACAGACTTTGTAGAGATACACTTTTATTAAGCATCTCAGGAGCTTCTTGTCCTCAAAGGCCACCATCCCTTTACCATCTGGAGGGGTGAGCAAGGAGCAAGTCGGCCTAGAATCTGATGTCCAGCTAACTCTTCTCATTTTTCACTAACTCATTAGTAACTTAATTTAAACTTGACTGTCGTTTCTGTATTTTCTCTTATTTTTTTTACAGGTATGAATGACTTCAGCTACCTTCATACGAACTGTTTCGAGGTGACGGTGGAGTTGTCCTGTGATAAATTTCCTCACGCCAGCGAGCTTCCCATCGAGTGGGAGAACAACAGAGAGTCTCTGCTGGTTTATATGGAGCAGGTCTGTCTCCCTTTTGGTTCATTTCAGCTTAAATATCATGTATCTTTTTTAAATTTGCATCGACAGTAATCATCATTTCTGTTCCTCCTTTAATAGTAGAACCTCATTAAAATAGTTTGAAGTAGAAATATCAATATTTAAGGGCATAAGTTCATATCTTTTTGTTTGGTTTCTGTTTCCTAAGGTCCATCGTGGCATTAAGGGTGTTGTTCGTGATAAAGACACGAATGCTGGTATCCCAGACGCCATTATCCAAGTGGACGAAATTGATCATCATATACGATCAGGTACTTTTTTTAGTTGGACATCGGAATAAAAGCTTTCTGAAAACACGAACTTTGTCAACAAAAATAAACTCAACTCAATTTTGCAGATTTGCTCCACAAACGTTTCTTTTTCCCCCCTGTTTTTTCTCCTATTTCTTTTTGAGAAATAATCTAGTATATCTCATGGAGTTAAAGATGTTTCCCACCCCTGTATCCTGATTTCAGTTGCTGACGGTGATTACTGGCGTTTGCTGAATCCGGGTGAGTACCGTGTCACAGTCAGCGCGGAGGGCTACCTCCCCTCCTCCCGCACCTGTCAGGTCATGTACGACTTCTACCCCACCATCTGCGACTTCCGCCTCACTAAGATGCCCAAACAGAGGCTGAAGGAGATTCTGGCGAAGGGGGGGAAGCTGCCCAAAGACCTGCAGCTCCGGCTACGACAGCTACGCTTGCGTAAACTCCGGGTCACCACCAAAGCCATGAACCAGCGACGAGCTGCTGCTGCCAAACGGGCGAAGAGGGTGTGACGGTGATTGACCTCAAGAACAAAGCAGGACTTGTTCAGAGACATTCAGATTTCTGAAACGCTGTTTTTTGTTTTTACCAAGGATCAAACAGCAGAGCATGATTTTTACAATCCTGAGAAACAAACTCTGATCTTCTGCTGTGGAGCAGCAGAGCCTCTGACAGAACAGCGCCTTCCTGAAGGACTCATCCATGTTTGGTGTTGACTCCAGATGTTTAAATAATTTGTTTATAGTGAAGTTGATCCTTTTAAATAAAATAAAAAGTGATTACCAAAGAAAATAATCCAGTTTTCATTTCAGTGATTATTAAAGGTGGGGCAGACAGGAATCCGTTAAAGAAGCATCTTTTTTAGTGGTCTATACAAAAAAGCTTTTAATATCAGTCTATAGTTGTTAGTTATTGATGACATTTGGTAATATAATGATATCTCTGTGTTCTCTAATGTCTGTGTAGTCAACATTTTAACATTTTTGAGCGGTCCGCTCATTCTGACTGTAAACAAAGCCATTCTCCACCTCCCCAACCTGATTGTTTGTGAGGCAGACGCTGCTGCCTTGTGTTGTGAGGCACAGTCCAAGTCGTCGAATAACGTGCACAAGGCGCTCGCCTTGTGCACGTTATAAAGTTAGCATGCTACAATATCAGACAGTAGAAACCAACTAGAAAGTACAGAAAATTGTCTGAATCCTCTTTTAGCCACGACTGCCGACACAAGCAAAAAAACAAAGTAAATACAGGAGACTCTGGGACAAAGTAAGACAAGTGTCTGTAACAGAAGTGTTTCTTGTCAAACGGACCTGCTGTAGCGTGTTGTAGCGCCATCGCTAAACTGTTGACCTCGGGTCCTGGACTATGTCACTTTATCCTAGTTGTAGAAGTCCTGCAAACATTGTGTTTGCTGGTCGTCTGTTGGCATCTACAGTAGCACCAATGCTTTTGACTTTCACCTTGACTGGGCCCCATTTGTAATGATCTGAAGTATTTATCTGCATTATATCTGAATTTAATTGGAACGATACGAGCGAGCAGGAGCGTCTGTTTGTGGGCATTCAAGATTTCTCCTAAAAACTGGCACTTCCTCAGATCCTGACTACTCCACCTTTAAATGATTTGAGGATTTCGAGTGTTTAACTTCCAGCTTTCACAGCCAAAGAGAGATTTACAAATAAGTGTAAACTGACGATGACAAGGTGACAATTTTTTGTTGTTTCCAGACCCCTGAAAAATGAAGCTAAAGACTTGTAGTGAGAGGAAACTACAAGAATCTTTATTAACGGCATAATTTCTATTTGACTGTACATTCAAAGAAAAGAGAGAATCATGTAAGAACGGTGAGCTTCCACTTGACACTGTTTCTCATCTTCGGCGGCGTCAGGACTTCAGCGGCTGAAAAGACAAATGATTCAATGTTTCAAACAGCTGATCGCGAGGCGGTAAACTCATATTCCTCATTAAAAGTTGTGCTGACCTTGTGGTGGAGCTGCAGGTCTCTGCTGCTGCTGCTGCTGCTGGAATGAAGCCATGATGCTGTTTGCAGTTGAGTTTGGTCCGGTCAGCTGAAACACACAAAAGACAAGAATTACATTCATAAATCACTCAGTCTGTTTGTCACTATTTTTAACAACTCTCTGACTAACATAACTCTGATATCTTATTGTCTTTACCGGAGTTTGATTGCTCTGCAGGCTTTCAGGCCACACCTCAGGGACCGCCGCCTCCATCATCTGCAGAGCCTCGCTGAAAGCCTGCTGCAGCTTCTCCGCCTGTTTGTCGAAGTGGAACAACACCAGGGCCTTCAGCAGGCTGTGGACCTCCTCTACAAGGAAGGGGGAGGGACAAAGGAGCTGTCAGTCAATCTAGATGATGACCGATCTTATTATTCAGACAGCGACATGGTGGTAAATCTCAAACTCAGACTGTGTTTGTTTCTGCACCTCTCATCTTGTCCACAGTGGTGGTGATGTCTCCCAGAGCACACATGAGCGCCCGGTCCTCCATCGGGCTCCCCTCCTTCAGACTCAACTTCTTCCGCTCTGCTTTCCGGCGGTTCTTTGACGACCTCCTGCAGAAACCGAAGTTCAAAATGTTCCTCTAAAGCACTCAGAGCAACCCTGATAGGGAGAAGATACTCAGCAAGGAAAGAGAGAGTGTGTTTGTCTTACGAGGAGATGCGGGAGTTACTGTGGGAGTATTTGGAGCCGGTAAGCACACTGCTGGCTTCAGAGTAGAGCTCAGCATCAGGACAGTCAGGACCGTCTTCATCTGATGAAGAGGACAGATTAAAACGGTGATTTATTCATAAATTTAACTCAGGATACCACAGCTGAAATCACGTCCGCTCTGATATTCTCTGTCCTGACTCGTTCTCACCCAGCATGTCCAGTCTGGCCTTCTCCTTCTGCTCTCGGACCACAGCCAGCCGGGTCCTGTGCCGAGTGAACGTCGCTACCTGAGCCTCCAGGAAGGTGGTCTGAGTGTTGAAAGCTGACACGATACACGCATTTCAGTGACAAACTGTAAGACGTTGTTATACTGCTTTAATCGTGTTTGTTATAGGCACGCAAAGTGACCAAAGAGGCCAGTCTGAACTTTTCTGACCTTCCAGCAGAGCAGGTTTGAGGTTCGTCTCAGTGATGTCCTGTCTGTCGTACATGTAAATCTGAAACAGGAAAAACAACAACCTCATCAACAGAATTAATGTGAAAAAACATGTAAAAAAAGACAAAAATGAAGAACAGATTGTTTTTTTTTTTCAGTTTAAACCTTCTGTTTTCAGCTAAAGCTACAAATCTGAAAAATCAGTTTATAAGGAAATAAATGTGAAAACAAAAATGATTTTTTCACTGACCAATCGGAGCGCCTCCTCCCAGACTGCACCGTTGATCAGAGCCAAAATGGCCTCCTCACAGTCCTATAGAAACAGAAACATCGTATCTTTCAGCTTTGACAGTAAGATGGATCTTGTTGGATTATTAAAGTGTTTTCTTGTTGCGCTGAGGCAGCAGCTCTGATGGTCTTACTTTGGCGTACTGGTCTAGCAGCAGAGCCGCTTCTGAGTATCGCCGCTGTTCAATCAACTTCTCTGTAAAGGGTAAAAACAAACGTTCTCAAAACGAGCGATGATCTCTCCAACCACTAAAGGTTAGTGAGTAAAAGCAGGAACACAATCTCCAGTTTGAGAGGGTTTTGGCGCCCCCTAGAGGAAACGTCATGTTGACTCTGGATGAAGTTGATCCTGTCAGAGCTGAAATACCTGCTCATGGAAAACTTCAAGAGTCTGGATCATTTAGACCCAGATTAACCCTTTTTCTCACCTGCCAGGTCTCTGGCCAGCAGAGCTAACTGGTCCGGAGGAAGTGGGATCTGCTGGGCCACACAGATGGCGTTCCTCCAGCTGGAGCTGCTGGTGAACGCTTGCAGGGCGCTGGCTAACTCTCCACACCGCCACAGCAAGAAGCCGGCCTGCTCCGCCTGCTGCTGCTCCACCAGGTGCTCGGCGTACGCGCAGCTCAGAGCCTGGAGGTCAAAGGTTAGAGTGAGTGTTTATCCTTCTTTTTGTTCATCCCTAAAACCAAACATGCTGCAGAAGATCAACCAAAACGAGGGACAAAATACTGCAGAAATAGTTCTGTTTTTATCGGTCATGATGAAGTTACTCGAATAACTGCGGTGAAGAAGTCGTATTTGCACCTTGTAGTGAGAACTATCAGCTTTGTAAAGCCGTAGAGCTTCGGTGTAGAGTCTCTGCTCCTTCACCAGCTGCAGAGCTTCAGGGAAATGTTCCTCTCCTGAACAGAAAAGTCCGTTACAGCAGTTCTATAACAAACTGATCACAATATTAAGGAGGAGCAGCTCACTGACTGACCACACTTGCTGAGGTGGTGCAGGGCCTTCCTGTAGCGTTTCAGGTGTCTGTCGATGGTGTAACGTTGGTAGTTCGGCTCCAGACTCTTCAGCATGTTTAAGAAGGGGAGGTACTCTTTGGGATCCTGCAGGAACCAAGTCCAGGAGTTAGTTAACGCACAAAAACTGGTTAATGTCTCTTGGTTTCTGCAGCTGATCCTCCTCTTCTGTCATATCTTCTCTGCCTGTTGTGTTGGATCATTAATCTGAACTTTCATGAGGACAAAATGTTTCTATAAAAAGTGTGAGTGAATAAAAATGGACCTTTTGTGATTTCTCGGCCACCATGAGCACAAGATCGAAGTCGTACGTCCCCAGAGAGTGTTCGTACAGGTCGTTCACGTTGACGAGGAAGAGGAGATACTTCAGGGCCTCTTCAGCGTTCACGGCACCAGGAGCTTCAGGAGGATTCACTGTAGGACACAGAAACCCAGCTGTGAATATCTGCTCTTCGTATACTGATGATTAAAACAGAGTTCAGATCAGGTTCATCAGACTCCTACTCACCTCGGAGCTCGTGGACTTTCTGCAGAGCGATCTCCAGCTCGGGAACCGTCTTCTTCACATGAGCAGTCAGCGTGGACAGAAAGAACCTGAATAAAGGACGATAGAAACGTCGTTTTAAACCATCATCATCTCATTTCTATTTCCTGGACGTTTGAGTCGTGAAAACACAAAATTAAAAACTGTAAAAGCTTGACCTTTCACATTGTGAAGTTTTATTGGGTTTATTTGAACTAATCTGAACAGATATTTGCCAATAATTTCATTTTCACTGACTTGTTTGGATCCATTGACTCCATGGCGCTTCTTAAAGCATCACAGACCACGTCCACCTTCTTCTGCCCGGAAACAAGAGGAGTCTGGGCGGAGCTGCCTTCAGGACGGGGGTACATGCTGCTGGTCGTGTCCTCCTCCCTGAACACCATGAATGATTTCTTTAATAACAGAAAGTATGAATACAAAATAAGATTGAACTCTCTATGGAATAAAAATCTGCAGCAGCAGATCTGAGGAGTCTGACTTGAGCTCAGTGAGGAAGAGGTTGATGTGGTTGATGGAACTGAGTTGTGTGATGAAGGTCTCGATGTTTTCCAGAAAAACCTGCAGGAAGACGAGGAGGAGACACATGAGACAGAGTCAGAGCATTGACTTTTGTTTTTACGATGAACTCATATTCATGCAGAGCCTTGTACTTTTATTTCCAAGTATCTCTGTTAACATTTTTGGAGGGAATTCAGCTGTTTTAAAGGTAACAGCAGTGAACCATGTCAGCTGTTTGTATTTCGAAGCAGCACTATGCAGTAACTTCTTTACCTTCGGGTTGTGATCGTAGATGAAGTTCAGGTTGATCCTCAGCTTCCTCATCGACTCAAAAGCTTCTCTGAACCTCAAACTGAAAAAGAAAAACACGGACGTGTGAGCGAAAGAGTCTGAAACAGAATGAGACGCTTCCGCTTTTTTCCACCAAAAAACGTGTTTCTATTCCAAATTTTGCATGATGAAAAATACTGAATCTAAAATGACAAAACATCAAACTCACTTGTCCAACCACTCCCTGAGCTGAGCCAATAAGAGCGCTCGATGGTGGACCGTCTCCAGGTTTCCACGTGGCATCTGAACACAAACCCCCCAAAGTCAAATCAGACGAATCATGACCAAAAAAATGGTTATTTGCATTTATGAAGTCAGAGAAAATCACATTTTCAGAGAGGCGTGTGTGTGCGTGCGTGCGTGCGTGCGTGCGTGCGTGCGTGCGTGCGTGCGTGCGTGTGTTTTAATCTAACCTGCAGAATCACTCTGGTGTCTTGAGGGACCACAGTGACGATCCTGGACCCTCTCTCCACCCGCCGTATCGTCTCATCGTTCTGAACTCCATCTAAGGCCAAAGCCGCCTGCAGCCCTGTGGGGTCAAAGGTCATTTACTGAACAGTACCAAGACATAAACCAGCAGCAATATCAACCTCACAACCTCACAGTTATTTTTCTGTAACTCTTTGGATTCAACACTAACCGCCATCTCACCTTTGACACTGAGCGTGCTCAGTTGAAGGCAGCGGCAGGTGTGGGAGTGCGTTGTGATGAGGAGGAAGTCGTTGCAAACAGCAAAGGAGGAAATGTTGGAGGCCAGCTGAGAGGAAAGCAGAAGGATGTTTACACACTTCTCATGAAACTTCATCTCAGATTTCAGGAGCGTGTGACATGAAGCCGCCTGCTTACCTCGGTGTCACCTGCATACAGGTGAGATCTGTCTGTCAGACCCAGCAGATGTTCCTGAAGATACAAAGACGGAACATTAAGGCCATAAAGAATACAAGATCTACACTGTACCTGTATGTAATTATATCTCTACCTCTCCACCGATGCTGCAGAGGGCCGTCTGCACGCAGGGAACAGGAAAGTTGATGCAACATCCGCTGGAATCACGCCACTCCTCCACTGACGGCTCCAGACAGTCTGATCACAAAGACACAGAAAAGGGGAAAAAATCTGGATTTTTGAGTTTTATTGCAGGTAAATGAAAATTATCAGGCGCGAATCTACTGAGAAGAACCGTGCCCTGCATGGTTTTCTAGATTCAGACTGAGGCTCCAAGCAAGTGAAGACTTTCAGGTGCTCAAGATATTTAAGGCAGCGGTTCTCAACTGGTCTCACTCTGGGACCCACATTTTCTCATGGTCCTGAAGTCACGACCCACTTTTATAGAATTCGAACCAAGCTAATTTACTTTTTATTAAAAAAACCTTTAAAGACTCAAATCTTCAACACAAATACACCCATTATATTGAGTAAAGTGAATTTCAGAGCACATGAACTGAGGATGACAACTACTAAAGTTGCATGTACAGAAAATATCAAATAAAAATCAAATTGCACAAAATAAGTTATTTTTCAAGTTAAAAGACATGTCAAACATCAGATGCAAATTAAATATTTACATTTTTGATCAGATGTTTGCGACCCATCCAGAACGTGTCCACGGCCCACTTTTGGGTCAGGACCCACCAGTTGAGAACCACTGATTTAAGGGACCGTTTTTGTCCTTATTTGAATAATCATAACAATTTTGCAACCATAACGATGTATTTTAGAGACTGACCCCAGAGCAGCTTCCTGATCTGTCCGTCCTCCAGCTGCAGCGCTACAGTGCCGGTCTGAGAGCAGTGGACCACGCTGACAACAACACCGTCCACCTCCACCTCTGACCTGAAACCCAAAAACACAGAGCTGAGTCCTGAACTTGAATGCAGCAGGGGGGAATTTTTCACTGAAACAGCAGCTGACCTGACAGCGAGCGCGTCTTCAGCATCAGGAGCTGGGTGGAGCATCAGCAGGGTGGAGGAGGTCGGCAGCAGACCGGGGCTGACACCCACAAACAGTTCATCCTTCAGCCACAGCAGCTGCCGCAGGGAAAGAGGCTCCTCCTGGTGGACTGTAACCCTGCAGGACGGGGGGAGAAGATAAACAGAAGAGAGGAAAGAAGGACTTGAGACAGTGATCAGATGACCAAGAGTGAATCAGCTGAAACAGCAGGTTGTTGTTGTTACCTGAAGGTTTTGTGCAGGACGAGAGGGCGAGACACCATCCTGAACCCATCTTTGGTTTTGTCCGCCTGCTCTCCTGAATCTGGGAGAAGAAAAGAGGTCAAATTAATCTCACCTCTTGTGGTTTGGACTCATATCCTCATTCATAAAAAGCTGTTTTAACAAAAAGGAAGTAAACACAGAATAACGAACCTTGTCTGTAGACTGAAATCTGTCCATCAGAAGTCAACGCCGCCAGCTGATTGGTCCTATGAGGCTGACAGAGGAAGGTCACCTGGTTGACCGGTGAGGTCAGCTGGAGTTCAAATGAACACATAGGAGGAGGAACCACGCACAGCCTGAAGGTCGTCAGCAGGATTTTATCTGAGAGGAGTTAAGATAGAGAAAATTCAGCTCACGGTAAAATGATCCTGAATCTGCGGGTCGTCTTGTCTCCTCCGTGCTCACCTCCATCGATCACGGCCACGTTGGCGTTGTCAGTGGAATCCAGCCCAGGACTCCTCTCAGTCGTCCAGCCCCAATCATAAGTGATCGTAGTCCAAGCACGGGTCACCACGTGGAGCCTGAGGGGGCGCTCAGGGTCCCAGAGGATGGAGACTGGAGCCTTTTGAGAGTCTCTGCCGAAGTCCAGGCTCTGCTTCAGATACCAGTGGTAGTTCCCCACAGACCACAGCTGGACTGCAGACGAAGCAGGGACAGATTTACTGGACTGATCATTTACTGATAATCCATATGACTATTTTTCTTTTTCGTGGATTTTTGCTGAACTCACTGTAAGTGTTGACTTGTTGGTCCTCTCCTGCTTTCATATCCTCCAACCAAACAGCTAAAACGGTGGAGTCGCTGTTCCACAACAAATCCTTCACCTGAAACAAACATTAATTTACTGATTTGTAAATGATACGTTAATAACGCACTGCAGTCTGGCTTTGCTAAACTCACCTTGGCTTGGTCTTTGCTGAAGGGGAGGGTGAAGTCTCCATGCAGCAGTCCGTTCTTCTCCATGAAGACCACGCTGTGTTTGTTGGGATGACGCTGTGTGCTCGCTATCAGGCTGCCCGACGGTCTAAAACACACAAAAAAGGAGAAATTTCCCATTTTTAGAGACCAGGAAACTGCTCATTCTGCTTTTATTTCACACACCAGGTTATAAAGAGTTAAAACATTCTCCACATAGAAAGCAAAACTGAAATTAATTCAGTGGTTTCAAGCTCCAAGCTTCGGTGGTGCCCTTACTTCCAGCAGAGCGCCTGCTCCAGTCCGTTGATGGGCTCACTGGTGGCCTGCAGGACTCCCTCTCTGTTCCAGACCCGGACCTTTCTAGCTCCGGTCTGAGGACAAACAGCACTGACAGCGAACAGCTGACCGTCACCTCGCCACGTCACCCGCGGCCGGCGGTCATCCCAGGCTGCAGCCGGCTGCACCTCCTGTCAGAGCAGAAGTATCGAGTATTTTTAACAGTTTTTGATCCGGTTTTATTTTCTAGGCTGTGCTGATGAATGATCACACACCTGGATCTTCCTCTGGGCTGCCTGTTTCCCCTCCGAGCCATGAAACTGAGTCTCCTTCTTCCCCCAGCCGACAGTGACGAACTTCCCTGTTTGACAAAACATGCACTGTATCAAACGTTTTCATGAAAAACCTTCATCTAATCACAGATCCACCAACAAGAATCCTCTTGTGGTCCCTACATGATAATATAAACAGAGACTTTTTACAGCTTTAGTACCTTCTCCAAAGTCATCCTGGTGAATTCCAACCTCAGTGATCGGCTCAAAGTCTTTGGTCATCATGATGATCGTCTCCTGACCTGTGGACACAAATTTAGAAAGGTTCCTCCTCTGCACAGCATATAATTCACTAAATTACAAAGTTATTCACATTTACACATTGATCTTAAACTGGCTTATATGTCACACTATCTATGTAGAAATAACTTCACAGGATCACTCATTCTTGCTGCTGATTGGTCTGGTTTGCTTTGAGTGGTCATAAAAGTGTCAACATTTATCTCGGGCTGTTTCATTACCACCTAAAACTCCTTACAGTGGCTTTAAATGGAAATTTAAGGAGACGTGCGAAATAAACTGACCTGTAGTGAGAATGACGAGCTCTTCATCGGGACTCCAGCTCATCGAGGTCAGACCGCTGTCAACACTGCCGACGCACTCCAACTGTGGGACAAAAACCACACACTTCAGTGTAGACCCTTATCGATGTAATATATTTGTTGATCTTAATTTATAACTAACTCTAATCTTAAAGGGATATTCTGGCAGAAAATTCATTTAGGGTCAAACACACTGTAACACCGAGTTAGACACCCCCTTGAGAGATGAATGATGCCGACCGCTTGTTTCTCTTGTTATACCAACTTTAGTAGCGACTGCACTATAGCAATACACAGCAGTCTGAGGAGGCATAAACAAACCTGAACTAAAACGCCACTCTATAGCCACAAATAATGCTCAGAAAAGCACCTAACTTCATCAACAGGACATTTCTTCATGGAAATGCAATCAGACCGAGAGGGGGGTGTCTAACTCGGTGTTACGGTGTGTTTGACCCTAAATTAATTTTATGCCGGAATATCCCTTTAACTATAAAGTAAAGTCCCCCTCATTTTCATAAAGATATTTTCTGTCTTTTCTCGTGTGCTGACCTTGCACGTGTTCAGGTTAAAGAGGATGACATCCCCACCAGCTGTGGCCAAACACGCAGACTCCAGTTCAGCCAAGTCCTGCAGCCCCACCACCTCTCCACTTCCATCCTCCTGGAGGAAACCCTCAGCTGTCAGCGAGGCCTCACTGAGAACCTGCAGGACCAAGGTGGTGATGAGTGAATCCTCAAATGCAGCACTTGTCCTACATGAAGCCCAAATATCTAAACAGAATGGCCCAGCTGTTTCAATGAGGTAAACCAAACTAAAGGATCAGTGAAGATCTTCAGCTCACCTGTCCGGACCGTGGGTCATACTCTGTGATGGAGAAGTTTGAGGCGACCAGGAGTGATCCAGTATCAGCCCGGACACAGAGACAGAGCGGTGAACCTGGACCCTGCAGCTCTGAGCTCCTCAGACTCTTCAGCAGCTTCAAGTTTCGCATTTTATCCTCAAAGGAAACTCAGTTTAGACCAAAGGACTGTAAAAATATAAACACATGAGAAGAGACAGAAAAACCACATGTTCAAGATTAAACACTTCACTGACTTAACTAAATAGAGGTTTGGAGAATATGTTGGGAATAAAGGTGTCAGAAATCAGAACTAAGTATGCGAAGTTACATTTAAACTGACCAGGAAAAGCGACATAACTGTTACCTGCTAATGTTTAATATCAAACACAGACTACATTCGCATTAAAACATACTAATATCATAAGAAAAAGTCAAACTTACACGGAAGAATCAGTTTTAAATCCCTGGAAATGATCAGAAACAACAACAACACAACATCATGCATGTGGCTCTGTCAGACTCTTTACCTTTCACCCCGTGTGACGCAGTGTTGAGAGCGGAGAGCGATGGCGCCCCCTGCTGACACGGAGTATGAACACGTCCATGATGTGAGAGGAGGAAAATCAAATAATAAAAGTTACGAGTACACAACATACTTTTACAGATTAATACGTTTTTTATTTAATTTATATTAATTTCTCATTGTACTAATTTTTGCCTTTTTTATGCACTTTGAGATCTGTTTTCTTAGATGTAAAGCACAATATAAATAAATAAATATTATTATCATTATTGTCATTATCATTATTGTCATTATCATTGTTGTTTTTATTATTATTATTATTATTATTATTATCATTATTATTATTATTATTATTATTATTATTATTATTATTATTATTATTATTATTACTATCGTTGTTGTTTTTCTATTTACCCTTGGAATATGTGTGTTTTTCCCAAGTCAATCCTCTGCTCTATTATGTGTAATAATAAAAAGGTCACTTACATAGCCTCTTAAAAAAAGAAAAAGGAAAATCTGAACCAACATTTATATAAATTTCAAATATGTGTCGATCACAACTCAGCAAAAATTATCCCTTTGTTTATCATAAAATGGGAATGAAAAGTTACAAAGCTGTGTCAATCAAAATTGGGTTTTTATTTCATACACAGTGTACGATTTCTCATGTTTACAAAAGCCGGAAGCTGATCGGCAGTGGTACACTTTAAGATTTTCTTTATTTATTTTTTCTTTGATTTATTTTTTTCATTTTCATTATATTAATGTTCCGTTTCTCAACTGATGTAGGATAGAACTAAATATCCGATAGAAATAGTTTCTAATTAATTCAGTGATACATTTATTTTAAAACACAAAGCCAGCTTTTATTTTCTTAAGTGAATGCATCACGCTTTATACATCATGATTTATGTGTTGTAAATTTTCCTCTGCAAATGTTATTACGTGTGTTTTTACCACGAGGTTATCTTTTTTTCACACTAAGGAAATTTTATCTGTTTTACTTCACATTTCAAATCCCACAGTTTTAATCAGTGAAATGATAAAAGTGCGCCTAACAGTACTTTTGTCAGTTCTTTTATTTTGAAAAGCAGCTACCGGACGTCTTGTTAGTTCGTTATCATCGCGAGATTGACAGGCTGCTGTGTTTCTGACTGACAACAGGTGAACGGGAGTTCGACGTTAGAAGCACGGGGGTTCACGAGGACATCACGGCGGGATATGAGGCTGGTAACGTGGCGGTCACAGAAAGGTAACTGTTTTTACATTTTCTTATAATTCTGTGCCGTTTTTTCTGAATTACTGAGACACAATAGAGCCGTTAGACCCCATTAATCCCCCAACCTTTAACCAAACGAGTATTTTAACCGCTCTGCTGATGTTCACTAACACGACTCTGATTGTTAAACGGTAAAAATCCGGTTACATGTTCCGTTCTAACAGAGATAGGACCTGAAAGCGGGAATAAATCCAGCGTGTTGTCCGGAAAGGTTGCCGCCCCCTTTTCCTCTCCCTCAAAATGAGACCCAAACAGACTGCAGTGTTTTCAGTATCTGTTTTAATCACCAAATAAAACGCCATAGCTTATGACCTCTGTCTATATTACACCTCACACTCAAAAATAAAGGTGTTTTAAGGTGGATTTGTTGTAGAAATTAATCCACCTTAAAATACACGATTTTTATTAGGAGAGATGGAGAGATCATTCATTTACATCACCTACTTGTTGCCTATATGAACCCTTTTGTGTTTATATATGAGCAGATTTTTTAACTTATTCATTTTAAGATATTTCTAAACTAACTCCGCTTTGGGACAATATTAGGCAGGTTGAGATAAAAAGTTGGTCTAAACATCTGTTTTTACCTTTCATTTCTTTGGACATTTTATTTACAGGAAAGTCCCCAAATTTATTTACATTATGAGGTGTGTTTATTGTTGATTTACACATTTATTTACTTCTCTGTTTACTTGGCTTTTGTGATTTGACATTCCTTTAAAGCTCCTGTGAGGAACTTTTTGGGTTGGCACCACCTGTGGACAACACTATCTTTGCTTATCTTGTCCTCTACATGCTTGAGCAGGGACTTTTGACAGTCAAACGGATCATTGAACGTGATTATTTTATGTGGAGTTTTTAAACAGGGTTGTCTCTACAGCTGCCTGGCTGACACACACCCTCTCGCACCAGTTTCAGGGATTAAAAATTAGAGTTTAAAGACTGCAAATGTTGTGACTGACACACTTGTTTGCTTTTTGTTTCTTTCAGGTCTCCAGCGATGAGGAAATGAAGGATCCAATAATGTCTCCTCCTGTCTCCTCCTGGTCAGACCAGCGTTGAGAGAAGAACCATTAACCTACATAGGTAATTAGACAGTCTATTATCAGTGTGTCATTATCATCCCCCCTTGACAACAAATAGATGAGCAATACCTTCCTCATTCTCCTCAGTTCACTCTCCGCCAAAGATCCTCATTTTTAGAACAAACCAATATTGACTTTGTTTTCCTCTCCTCTGGAAGAACACGTTTTCACACTCAGTCTACAAACAAAACGGGGATCTTTGAGGTATGTTGACTTTCTGGACTAAAACAGCATCTATTAAAACATTTTTGAACTATATGAGAAGAGACATGGAATTTTGGATGAAATAAACATTTAGAGTTGTCACTGCTTAATTAAGAAATATCACAGCAGAGGTTTAACCTAATTTTTATGAAAAGAACATTTACAGTGACCTAAGTCTGGTGAAAAGGCTGTAATTTTACTTTGCACTACACAGAGTTGCATGTTTGCTGCTGCCTGTGCTGGCTGGTTTGTTTGTATTTTGTTGGATCAGAGCTAACCCCTTCAAATCCCAAAGTTACACAACAAACAAGCGAACTGAGGCAGCTGCCTCTCTCAGTGAAGTTTCAGCTAGAAACAGAAATGACTGTTTTTGGTCATGAAAATTATTATTTCTTATTTGTAAGGACCCAATATCGGACACAGTGAGCACTTTACATCGGCAGACTTTCATCAGGGCACTTTTAAAGATCTAATTGAAGGTGTTACAGCTGTTTTCTGCATATCCAGGGTCCAAAAAGAGACGAGTCTCTGCTCCTGTTATGCCAGTGCTGGATTATGAGGCCCATGTGTAGACTAAAACACTGGCCAAGTCTTGATTACAGGTCTATCTTACATCTTCTTCCCTCATACCTCTTCGTTTACATTAAGTAGAAGAGTACAGGAACTTTAACGCTTCCAAAGACTGCTCCCTTTTTTGCTGTGACCCACAGAAAGAGCTGAAGCTGAATGAAATGGTTTCACTTGGAAATTTTAAGCGTTTTTGAACAACTTGGACTTGCTGCCAGTTGCTCCTCTCCAGTGCCAGATTACCAAAACTGCAGACACTCAAGCAGCTTGTGAGTCCAACACATATGTTAGGGTGTAAAAAAAAACAGAATAAGACAGCAAATCTTTCCAGTCGAGGTCAGAGCGAAGACAGCAAAGCCAGGGTGTGAGCGCTCCTCCTAATCTGCTGTAAGTCACAGTCATCTCAGGAGAACTCCTCACTCATTGTGGGCGATTCTGCAGCAACATGACATTTGAAGGCGATAACCTCTGCAGTGTTTGTGAGTTTAGTCATCTTTTCTTCTCTGTTGTCAGCCAGTCTGCAGCAGGAACATCTTATCAGAGATGTGACCACACCAGCAAAGTCAATCCATGTCTTTATGTGAGGTTACACATGTTCTCTGCAGCAGCCAGGACCTGGACCAACCCTGTCATTACAGTCCACATGGATCCTAATTTAACCCTCTTACTGAGTCAACACTCCTCCCACCTCTGACTCTTCTGTCACATTACTCATCATCGGACTCTCCCTCTGTTCAGTTAAAAACTCTTGACCCCATTAAGCACCCTTTCTGCGTGAACTCATGCACTCCAGCCTGTGAAAGTGCAAAAAATCAATTTAATTTTGATTCAAAACCAAAATTAATCGAATTTTTTTGAAGCTCCTTTTAGCACACAGCCAGAGGTCTTCATTTAAATTCAGTTAAATGGTTATTTATTATTACTTTTTTGTTAAAGTCCACAGAACCAGAGTGTGATGGTTCTTTTCACTTCAATATCTTTGATTATTTTCACCAATAACATGTTTTAATTAATGAAATAGAAAATTAGATTAGATTCTTATTCAGACACGTGAGCAGCAGCCGTTTTTTAATCATGTCTCACACCTGAAATGGTTGCATCACTGATGAAATATGAAGGAGCGGCCGGTTTCAATCTCAGGACTTTCCTCGTGATAACCCGTCACTTTTCACATCAGCTGCTGAGTTTTTCCCGTTACAGCGGGTATTAATCAACCACTGAAGCATCCAGGGGTAACATCAGTGAGCTGAAGTTGTGATTCAGTATGAAACTGTGGGACAAAATTGTGTTTTCGGACAGGTTAGGTTGATATTATAACGTAGTCTCCATTTTTTATCTGTATTTGTATTTTAACGATTTCAAATATTCCTCATTCAGATTAATTAAAACTGCTTCTGTCTTATTTTGAGCTCAAGTTGATGCTGTGCTATTTCCAAGACTTGAACCAACATATCCTCTGTCAAGCTCATTAAGCATTTGTCATCCCCTCATGGAAAAGCAAGTCTAGCTCTGGGTCATAAGTTTGTTCTCGGTTACTGTATAGAGTTAAATTAATGCCTGAAGTCTTTTCTTTCAGCTCTTTTGTAGTCTAACACACCTTCGGTTGTCGTCAGGTGAGCGAAAGTCAGCTGATAAAAGAATCCAGTCTTGCAGCATTCCTGGCCGACATGCTGATCTAATGAACCAGATCAGCTGGCTCCCTCATTCCTGTTTCATAGAGTCTGACTGTGATGAATCCCCTCATTGTGTTTAAGTTTCATGGTTCATTCAGAGTAAATATATTTGGCGTTCAAACTCCAGTTATCCCAGAAAAGTTCAGAGTCTAGAGATCGTCGTCTGAGAGATGTTGGAAAAGAAAAAGTTGTCATCACCTCTGAGCTGCTCTGTCTCCACTCTGTCTCTTTACTGGATTTACAGCAGCGTCACCTTTCTGCACCGTGTCAAACAACAGATGGGCTGTGTGGACTGATGGTGTACTTTGAGAGATAACAGATTGATCCGCTGGTGTGAAACCAAATCATATAAAACCCCTGAAGGTGACTGAGGCTGTCGCTGAGACCCAGCGCCTCTTGAAGCTGTTGCTTGAAAACAAAAGGACTCTCTCTATGAGTGATATCACACAGCATTTTATGGAAGCGTGTTGCATTCACCAAAAAAAGGGGCTGATTTTCCAGTACGATTTTTCTGTTATTCAGAGTAATTTTTTTCTGTTTTTCAAAGTAATTCTTTTTTTCTATTTTTGGGACATTTTTTTCTGTTTTTCAGAGTAATTTTTTTACTTCTTTTTGGACATATTTTTTTCTGCTTTTCAAAGTTATATCTTTTTTGATTTTCAGACTAATTTTGTCTGTTTATAAAAGTACTTTTTTTTTCGGACTATTGTTCGTTCTGTTTTTAATGTAATTTTTTTCTGTTTTTGGGGGGGAAAATCCTGTTTTTCAAAATAGTTTTTTTTCCTGTTTTTCAGATAGATTTTTTTTCTTCTTTTCTGACTAATATTTTTCTGTTTTTCAAAATGTATTATATTTTTTTGTTTTTCAGAGTAATTTTTTTTCTGTTTTTTAAAATATTCTTTTTTTTTGGACTATTTTTTTCTGTTTTTCATGACATTTTTTTTTCTGTTTTTCAAATATTTTTTTTCTGTTTATTAGACTTATTTTTTTCTGTTCTTCAGAATATTTTTTTCCTTTTTTTCAGTGTAATTTCTCTTTTTTGGACAAAATTTTTCTGTTTTTCAGAGTAATTATTATTTTTTTTTTATAAATGTTTCTGGTTTTCAGCGTGTTTTTTTCTCGCATGATTTTGAAGTATCTGATTTAGTCAGGGGAAAAAAATCCTTTTGTTTTTTCTGTATGCAATACACTTCCATAGCATTTTTCTAGCGTGAAACACCTCTACTACAGAGTCATGCTGCTGAGATGACTAAACCTGTGTATGTTGTTCAGCATGAATGAAGCCTTCACAAATATATAAACTACGCTTACCATGGACACTTATGCATCCCCCTAACATCATGGATCTGAACCACAAATTTATAACAATTCTACTTTGGAGTGAAAGACACCAAAGCAACAGGAAAGATGGATCTGGATTGTGTCTGTAGATGGTTTTCACCTTCTTTGTGTATGCAGTAATGAACCGTCTACACAGACTTTGGTTAGTGGTACTGATTTGGAGCCCATGCAGTAACTTCCACTACAGAGTCATGTCAGTTTTTATTACACACGGTATTCTCACATATGTCACCAAAATCAAACGGAAAATGAGAAAATGTATTTTAATGAAACAGTTCAATATTTAGCAGGTTAAAGGTAAAGTTTCAACCTTCTGCAGCTTTGAAATCTGCTTTTGTTCTCTTTACATACTGGCATTTCTTTGTTTGGTGGCAGCTTCATATAATAGCGGTAATTCAGTATTATTTTCTTAGCTTACAAGAACATGAAGACATTTTTAATCAGAGCTCTTGCACAGTCTGACTTTTGAACTCCCAGATCTTGCAGATACACAGTCTTAGTTATCAAGCAGTTAAGATAAGATAGTGAGTTAAAATGTTGCTGTAATACGGCTCCTTTAACTCTCCACTGATAAACATTTAATTCAACACACTGCTGAACTCAGAGCCTTTGTTTTTCCGTGGCCTCACACAGCTGTTACAGCTTAGTGTTCGCTGCACCACGTGTGAAATTCCTCCCTCTGTGTTGTGACAGGTGTCTTGAACAAACTCGAGAAAAAACAAAATATTTGAGGTCAGTCGGATTTCATTTGGTCGCTGCTCAGTGAACATGCACCTTCAACAACATTGTGCATTAGTTCTTAATAAAAATCGACCTCTTCTGACTGCAGGAATCTAAAGTAAGGAGCCATAAATCTCTCCTCGTTTCCCTCCTCCAGAAAATCCAGACGACCCCTCTGCGGTTGGGAGAGGATGGGACGTCCTGCTATGCTTTTGTTTCCTGTGAGAGGAAAACTTCAATCACTTCAAAGCTGCATCTTCATTGGTCTGCTTAGAGTTTCATGAACCCTCTGAAGAAGTCGTCTGATTGGTCCTCCGTTCCACTGTGAAGACTTTTCCAGCCAATCGGCATCCACCGGGGTGAGTGCGGCTTCCTCTTCCCACCAGCTGCTGCAGTCAATCAGCTCATTCAGCAGCATGAGTGTGAGCGTGTGTATTGAGTGTGTGCGTGTGTGTGTGTGAGTGTATTGTGTGTGTGTGTGTGTGTGTGTGTGCAGCCACCCTTTCCTCCCCCTCCCCTCTTTTTCCTCTACAAAACAGACGACCCACCCTCCTTTCCACTCCCATCCCCCCTTGTCCCTCACACACTCATGCACTGTTCCTCTCTCACACACTCACACACTCCTTCCACATGAGGCCCAGCAGCAGCAGCCTGGTGTGTGTGAGTCAGCGGAGAAAGTTACACTAGTGCGTTTATGCATGTCTGTGTGTGTGTGTGTGTTTGCAGCTCTGCAGCGTGTCCTCTGCAGCAGATTTCTGCCTCAGTCGGGACAGAGAGAGAGAGAGAGAGAGGGGCGAGCGAGGTTCACCGCAGCTGAATCAGGGATTCTGCACAAGGTAATCCCAGCCTGATATCATGTGAATGTTTTTAAAGATACTTTGTCACTAACACCGGGATACAGTCAGGATTAAGGTCGATCTTCAGCGGTTTGGTTCAGGTTGTTAGCGGCACTTGTCTCAGCTCTGACACACACTTGTTTTGGGGATTTAAAGAAAGTTTTCACTCAGTCGTCTGTTTTTCTGCGTAATGAGTGTAGAGTCACTGTGATACCTGAAATATTGGCCACAAATGTGACTTTTATCAAAATGTTTTTAAAGAACTTCACCTGGAGAACAAACGTGAAAAAAAAGGACCCAAATTAAGAACGAAGCCGATTTAATTATAGTTTTGAAACCATAGTTACAGAGATTTTTCCATGAGTATTGAAAGTATTTAGTGTCAGCTCTGCCTGTAGATTAGTAATCCTAAACTTTGGTCCACCATATGCTGCTCAAGCCTTAAACCCCATTCAGTGGAGGTAAGAGACGGATCTGTGAGATGGGATTACAGCCACAATTAGCTGATTTCAAAGGATTGTTTCACGACAGATTGTGTCCTATTAGAGCTTTTGTTGTGTTTGATTTCCTTATAAATAAATCACAGTTCTCGTATTTATTAATTAGAGTTACAGACACATACAGGACTCCAGGACATTGGTTCAACTTCAGGACACTTAATAATATCTCTGTTAACTGTTAAGGCAACATAAGTTACAGTATACCAATGGTGGGTGCTGTTGCTGATGGTCTGTGGTGCTTTTGCAGGTCATAGAGGGACATCGCTCTGACATTTAGTCTGTTTTATATGAATTTACAAACTCTAAACAGGAGCTTTAAAGAAGAATTATTATTTTTGAGTGTAAATAAACATATAAAGTGTTTAAAAGACAAAGAGAGAGAGACAACTGTTTGAGCAGATGGTTGCTGTATTTGGTGATTATTCTCTAAATTGTCCTATTTGATACTTCTTGGTAGGGCTGGGTGATAAACCGAAAATTTACCAATACCGAAATTTATGACAATAACCAACGTCATTTTGCCCTTAGCGGTATATTCAGTGTCAAAAAAACAAATTAATAAAAGTTGGTTTTGGATGTGATATTGATTTAAGGACATATTACCCGGCCCTACTTCTTTAAAAAGTGTGGGATTAAATGTAAAAAGTTATTCTTTTATTTAACAGTATTTTGATGATTTTTAGACTCAAACTGTTGTTTGCAGCGAGAAAACATGCATGGGTATTTGCACCGAGACATAATTGATGCATGCATCTGCAGATTTGTCATTAAAAGAAAGTTGGACTCAGAGGAGTAGAGCTGCGTATTAAAACTGAAGTTCTGTAATCAGTCTTTTACACAGTTGATTTTGACGTTTAAAGTGTTATTCAGACAAACATGTTTTGAGTTCTCCGTCTAAAGTGTCAGAAAAGTTTTGTTTTTATATCAGAGCTGAGATTTGTTTGTTTTTGGAGAATACCAGCCCTGCAGACCGGGTTTGGGAGAATCTCTGAGCATCTTTGCCGATGCTGTCATGAGTGATTTTGTCACAGAGATGAAATGATGGAGTAAGTGAGTCAGAAATAAAACCATCATTAGAGCCGGTGCTTTAAAGCCTCTGGCGGCTGTTTCGCTGATTCATGTGAAAGCTAATTGTCACAGCAGTGGCAGCGTTAGTCTCTCTGGCAGACTCCCGGTGGGCCGACGACCCATGGTGATCTGGCCCAGAGGATCCATGACAATAAACCCCCCCCCCCTCGCTGCATGTTGGCGTGAAGTAAACAGTCTAAACAATACCACGGCATCTGTTGCTTTGCTTTGGCTGCCTGTTTAGTCATCTCTGTATGGATGCAGCTCTCTTCCTGGGGACACGCCTTAAACCCGGAGCAGGAATGTTTCTTAATCAGCCAAGAAATTCAAGGCATGCTATTGCAGAAGAGGAGACTGGCACCAGATGTTTGGGAAGTCTTATCTTCAGCTCATCCTTTAGTTTGGTAATCTGTAAAAAGAGGGGCATGGTTCTTCAGGCTGAAAACAGGTCGTTTACATTGTCTTACTGATTGTGAAAGTTTGGGAAAACTGAAAATAACATTTTAGGATCCAAAACAAAGAAGTTTTCCCAAATTTATAACAACTGTACAAGAGATAATTTTGTATAAGATCTTTTAACTCACATTGCAAATGAGAAATCCCTCCTTAACTGTGAAAAAAATGACAAGAGGCAGACACTCGAGTTCAGGACATCGACTGAAAGAACTTTTAATTTTTGTAAGAATGGAGCTCAAACAAGTAGATTCACAGACGAGGTCCCCGACTGTGGGGTTTCAGAGTCTTTGATCCTCACTCTCAGTCTTTATTATTCCCAAAATGGCCAAAAAACAACTTAAATAAGTCACACTCGCCCTCCATTTCTTCTTATTCGTCATGCGTCTGCTGTCTTTGCATAGTTTAGATATCACAGTGACCTCTTTCTTCATATTATCTGTATGTTGCAACTTCTACGTACATCTGGGATAACATTTCCCATCATTAACTCAAGTTCATCAGGAAATATCCTTTCTCTAAATCATGCAGCCCTAGTTCAAATGTAAAACACACAGCTTATCTCCACTGTCCATGCTCGTCATCGCCTTTTACTAAAACTTTTAAAATGTTCTCTAGTTCAGTGATCAGGTCGATCATAACAAACTCATTTAACTTAGTTATCGCCATGAAACAGCTTTTTATCAACACTGTGTCTCTTCTCCAGTGATCTCCATCATGGAGGTTCCCCGGAGGCCTCAGCCCTCCTCCTTCACCTTGCCTCTACCTAAACCTGCTCTGTCACCGCTCGGAGCTGTGGACAAGGTCACCAAGAGGGGAACGATGGCAGACCGCAGCACAGAGAAGGATCAGTCTGGAGATGAGACCTTCAGTTCAGAGGAGGACTCCAATGTGAGCATTTATGTGGAGCCCCCAGCGGAGAGCTCAGAACTTGAGAATACGAACACAGCAGGAGTGAAACTTTCCTCACAGGACAGCTTCTCAGAGGAGAGCTCCATATCGGAGGAGACGCTGGCAGAGGAGGCCAGAAAGAAGTCTGCAGAGGACGAAGCAGCGGCTAAAGAGAGGGCCGCGCAGAGGCAGCTGCTGGCCATCGAGGAGCTGGTCATGTCTGAGAGGAATTACCTTCGACTGCTTCAGGTCAGCACCGTGACCATCAGGAGCAACCTGCAGAAACTACAGGTGAGAGGGAAACATCTGCTGCCTTTGATAACTCCTCAGCAAGAAGAACAATCAAACACATCACAGCTGCTGTTCATCCTGACATAATTTATCAGGTAGCTCTGGGGCATTGACTGCTTTAGTTCTGCAGAGACGCTCTGTGGTTCATCATGGTTAGATTTTCATTATGTTCGAGGCATTGCTTATTGCTGCTAAATAATCATTTATTATGCAGTAATGAAATGAGGCCTAATAAAACATAATGGAATCAGGCTTTATGGGCTGAGCTGTGGAGGAGCGTGGAAATGAAAACTCAACATGTCAGCGGCAGATGAAGAATGAAATGAAAATGAAAATAATGAACGATTGGGCGGAGGAACATATCTGGTAAATAGAGGGATGGTTAATTCATGAAGAGATGGAGATGGAGTTAAAAAAAAAGAAGAGTGATGGGGAAGAAAAAGGAGCTGAGAGAAGCAGAGAAACAGAAGTGGAGTGTGCCTGAATGGTGCCTTTGTGGAACAGGAAAAGCTGCGGGTTTGTTTTCGATGGTAATGCGCTCATTGTTCAGTCTTCCAGCACGGCCCACTGTCGTCTCATCACAATAGATGGAACCAAAACTAAACGGTTCTTTATCAGCTGTGCATGAGCGTTTCTCACACACGTGGATTTGTTACATAACAGAGAAATTAGGGCTGAGCGATAAATCGAAAATTTATTGATCCTGAAATTTACGACAATAACCGACGTCATTTTGCCCATATCGGTATACTCGTGTCAAAAAAACAAATAAAAGTTGGTTTTGGATGTGTGTAGGTAGGCTATGGTCTCATGTCCCTTTAAGACGCTGTCCTACGTCAGAGATATGACTCCACCCCATCCAGTCCGTAACAAAGAGGGAAAGACAGGTGAGGAGATGGAGGACGGGTCAAAAGTTGTAGCGGCTGAAGTAGACGAAGTTAATGTGGGAGGGGGTGAGCAGCTTGTGGAGTAGTTATCGTCCATTTATCGAGGTGAACTGATCAATATATCGTGATATTGATTTGAGGCCATATCACCCAGCTCTAAGAGAAATCACAGCACAGCTCTCCTCCGTAATTGTTGCCCTTTCAGTAAAAACGGAAATATATTTTTCTCTTAGTTTACAGATTTTGATTTACATTTTTATTGGTTTATACTGATACATGACCAAGAGGAGGAATATAATAGCATATCTCTAAAATGGAAAGCATCATAAATATGTAAATACATTCTGTGTGAAGTTTAAACGAGTGTCTCTCTGTTTGTCCTCCACTGAAGCCTCCTCTCACTAACCTGGACAGCATGTTCCTCCACATCGAGGATGTGATCAACGTGTCCAGTCGTCTCCTCAGCCTGTTGGACCAGAAGCAGATCCAGCCCGGAGACTCGCTGTACCTGGAGACGCTCTGTAAGCATTGAGTCTTCTCTGTATCGGGTTCAAGCCCCCCCCTGTCTTAAAGACTCTGACCTGACAACACGAGCTCAATCGCACAGGAAGTGGTGAAGCTGAGGCGCCGCTCTGCTGATCTATCGCTGTGATCACACTTGTTTACAGGAAACCGATCACTTCTTAAACATCCTGCTGTCACACACACGACTTTCACTTCTTCATGAGTCTGAACCAGCTCACTCTGTCGTTGTCTGAGCTCGGTTTGTGGTTTTGCTAACCCATAAATCTCCAGTTCAGAGCAAACACACGAGAAGTTCATGTCAGGGATGTGTTCTCTGAAATCAGCTGGCTGTTTGGTGAGTTGACAATCAAATTTCTTTGCTTTTCTTGCAGGTAACTCATTTCTCAGTCTATCATCGGATATCGAAGCGGCCTATAAGGAATACCTGTCGAACTACAACCACGTTACAGTGGTGGAGAACAGCTACAAACAGAAGGAGGCGCTCTGGAACGAGATCGTCAAAGTCATCAAGAGCTCAGCGTGAGTTTTCTGCTTTTTGATGCAGGAAAAATGCTTATCGGTTCTTTAACTGTTCGTATGTCCTCTGTGCATCTTCAGGCCGGAGGTCAACGCCACTTCTTTGAGTTTCTTCTTGGTGATGCCGGTGCAGCGGATAGCTCGCTACCCCCTCCTCCTGCAGACCATCCAGAAACACACAGAGAAAACCCACCCAGCGTACGCACTCCTGGAGCAGACCGCTCACACCTCTATCGCCTTAAACTGTCGCATCAACGAGTACAAACGCTTCAGAGAAGTTGGTGAGGCAACAAACCGAGTCATTGGTGTAATACCAGGTTACCCAGTTAAAGAAGGAAGTTATTAAGACCTCCAAATATAAGAGAGTCTTCTTTAAGGGGTCTTGGCTGTAGGAACTTTTCAGGAAACTTCTGTTCTCCAGTTGATTATCGGTCATCCTTTTTTATTACAGCTGACAAATACAAGAAGACAGAAACTCTCACCATAAAGGACAAGATCAACCGCCTCAACACCCACAGTATCGCCAAGAAGACGGCAAGGATCAGCCAGCACTTCAAACATGAGACTGGAATAGCTCCAAAGGTGTGAATGAAGTTCAGGAGCTCGGCTTTACAAGCGGCATTTTGTAAAAAATCACAGAGCAAAGACGTCAGGTTTGTTTGGGGTTTGGTCAAGAGGACAGGTGGAACTGTAACCTTTTAGTACACCCTCCACCTCCAGGTACACTGCTGTGGTTAATATTTAACCTGCAGAGAAATGTATAATATAAAGGTTTATTGACTGTGCAGTTTGCTGCTCTTGACCAGGTTACACTCATCCGTCTGATAAGGTTTTTAAAGGTGCAGCGTGTGGAAATACGAATATTTAGCAACGAAACTCTAGACTGAAATGCTCACCTCCTTATTTTCCTGTTGGCGAAACAACGGTGGCCTTCAAGGACAAAAAGATTGATGACACTGAATAAACACAATCGTCCTTTATATGTGATTATTCAAAACTAACTTTAACTAATCATATTTAAACTTCTATGTAGGGGTGTGTGGTATACTGAGCGATCTTGATACATGGCAGCTTCATGTGGAAATATAAAATTCATTTATCCCAATCTTACGATCTCTAACATAGGTGATTAAAGCCGTCTACACCTACTCCACCTTCATATCAGGATGTTGGATATCATATTTGATCGTCGCCTCTCATTAAACAGGAAACAGTATAAAAACTCTCTCCTTATGTTGAAAAACTGGAACTTCATCTCCCTTAGACATGTACCCAGCTCTTATGTGAAGACTTGAGTGTTTCAGGACCGCTCATGGACCGCTGTGTTTCCTTTGATACAGAGCTTGGGTACAGATGATGATAGTAATCATGAACAAATTACAGGGCGAGTGTGTGAGGCATTATTCAACCAGCGCTGATTTACAGCTAAAGAAAAGAGACAGACGTCTTGGGCGTCAGTTATTTATTACTTTTAGGGAATTTGAGTCCATTTGCAGATATGTCGGCGGAGCGATACGACCATAAATATGATGTGATAGAAAAACAATAACATGAAGGTTGAATACTGAGTATGAGGAGAAGTTTGTGAACTAAGGAAATGGTGGACGAGATTGATTTAGTGGATCTTTATGTTTACCTGTGTGTCTCCTTTAGCTGGTGGACGAGGAGTTTGATGCCGTGGAGGGTTTCTTCTACGTCCTTGAACATGGGATCCTGGAGCTCCTTGAGAACGTGGAGATGTACCTACATCACCTACAGGTGGGCTGAGTTTACTCAACATGATGCGAAATAAAAGATATTCCTCTGAGATCAAATGTTTGAAGCTCGAGTTTCTTCTTCTGTGATTTACTGAGGGGTTCATCCAAAAACAAACATCTTCTTACGTAAGTTTGTGGGTAAACTTTTCCTGTTTTGTTGTGAATTCCTGACAATTAAAATCTTCTATCGCTATTATCTTAAAAAGTGAATATTTGGAATTTCACCACTTTTGGAAATCTTGTTTGTTTCCTCCAAAAGTGAAAAGTAAAAAATCAGCGTCCAATCTGAGGGTGAAATTTTATCCTCGATCTGCATGCATAAAAAAGTCACCATAATTTTCTTAATACAACTTAAATTTGACAGAAAACCACAAGAATATCATCCAGCAGTTATAGCGAGTGTTTTTAGTGTCTAAATCTAATTTCATGAAGCAGAAGTTTTTTTCAGAAATCATGGAACAAACGGGACGAGGCTGGATGTTTATTCTCGCACATGTTTATGAGTCACACTGTGTACACTCAGAGGCACCAGAAGTTAAACATACAAGTTCCTCTGTACGTTTCCACTCTAAAATTATCCTGTGGACGAGTTTTCCTCTGCCCGCTCCGTGTCCTCCATGTTTGAGATTTTTTTTCTCTTCAATGATTTTCATCTTGACAAGAAAAGCTGCAGAGACTATTAACTGTAACACATGTTTATACAAAGAAACATGTCCTAACTAGACTAAACAGTTCAGGAAGCAGAGTTTGGTTTATCAGCTTTTTTCATGTGTTTTGTCTGCAGCGGTTCTTGGCCTGTAAAACAGAGGAGTTTGACTTCGATATGGACGGAGAGAAGGAACCTATTTGCTATAAGGAGATCACGACAGCTCTCAGGCAGTGGATTCTTCCTTCATTTGTGAGTTTATCCATCAGTTTTTTGTTTTTTTTTAACTTAAATAAAAAAGCAGCAGAAAGAAATAAAATTTACAACAAAGGAAAAAATGAGAAAGCTAATTTTGTGTCATAACTTTAACGACCTTTTCACTTTTACAATAAAATGAACCCTTCTGGTCTTAAATGATTACCATCATCTCTGCTCCTGTGCAGGAGAAGAGGTTGAGGACGCTGATCCACAAGCCTTTGTGCGCGCTGAGAGACCTCCTGGTGGGTCCGAGGAACCTGATCAGGAAACGGTTGGACAAGCTGCTGGACTATGAAGTGATCAGCGAGAAGTCCAACCTGAGCTACGAGGAGCAGGCCGTGGCCAACACATACAGGTGAAGACTCAGAGAGAGGTTATTTCACAGATTCAGACTCAGATCACTGAATTCATCCTAAAGAATAATCTGGTCTCTGTCGTCCATCATTAGACAGGTGCATGTCAGAAACAATTCACAGGTGACAAGTGAACTGACAGAGACGCTCGCAGCTCTTTGCACCCTCATGTGGCCACCTTCAGTGATTACACTTGCACAATAACCAGGCGATGATCAAGCACACAGTTCAGGAGGGTTTGGATAAACTAAGACCACTGACATAATATCACATGTTTGTAGTTGAACACAGGAAATAATTACAGCCAGAAATATGATATCAGAAAACAGGTTTTATTTCTGGTTTGATGCAGTTTTCTATTATGTTTTAAATCCTGGTATTAGTTAGGGTGACCATACGTCCTCCTGTACCCAGACATGTCCTCTTTTTGGGGGGGCTGTCCGGCTTTGTCCGGGGGAGTCTATAAAGTCCTTCAAATTTCCGGGGTTTTGTATAGAAGTTTTGAGTTTGTGTCGCGTGGACTAACTGAGTTAGAAGCACGTAAGAAACACTCGACCTGACCCGAAACCCCTTAAACTTTACTAAGCATAACTTTATGACTCTCCCCCTGCATAGTTGTGTCCTCTTTTTGTAAATTCAGAATATGGTCACCCTATATTAGGTGACATTTTCCTTTTAAAAATGATGTCATCATGAGGCCAAATATGGACTTTGGTACCAGAATGAGCTTTATATTGTGATATCAGAGGTGTGTTCGTATGTTTACTGTCTTACCTTTGATCTTGCAGGTTGATTTGGTTTTATTTAAGTGCTTATAAATGTTGAATATCTTAAATTATTAACTCTCAGCTTGACTCCATGAACAGTTTCTGGTGTCTGAGTCAGTATCAGGCCAGACCATGGATCTATTTAACAGAAACTCTCTTTGAATGACCCCACATTTTTGTGTAGTTTTAGGTGTGTAGGTTTAAGAAGCCCAAGCTGAACAAAGGTGTTTAAAGTTATGTTAAGTCAAAGTTTCACAAATTCAAAGATGTCTTTAGTTTCCTCATGGATTTATCCTTTCTCCTCAGGACGATGAACACGCTGCTCCTCAATGAGCTCCCACAGTTTAACGGCATGGCTCTGCAGATGATCTGGAGCATGTTGGGGACCTTCAGCTGTCTGCACAGAGACCTCGCCTCAGATATGGAGCAGCTGTTCCAGGGCTTTGCACAACAGGTTAGCTCATATTAGCCGTACGCTCAGTCCTCTGCACAGATGTTCGAGTAAACCAGGAAAAGATATGTATACTCATGAGGTGTAGATTTAAAGGCTACAGGAGGAAAAGTTTTCTGTGCGAATGACGTATCCCACATTTAAAGAAAGCATCATGAGGACTCTCAAGAGTTAAAAACAAAATCTAAACTTTCTTTGTTTTTCTCAGCTCCCTCACAGCCCTCTCAGCTCCAAAGCATTCTGGGAGTGGACTGAGTCTGCAGTGCTCGAAGGCGCAAAGAAGCTGGAGACTTTGTGTCAGACTGTACAGGAAACGTTAAACGCACCAGTCGACCAGGTTAGTCCAACATTTCAGATTCTCAACGCTGAAAAAGAAAAAGTTCAAACAACCGAACATACGTGTCGCGCAACATTAAGATTTTCATACAAAAATCCTGAATAGAAGCTTCCAATCATTTCAGTCAGAGGGAGAGAGAGAGAGAGAGAGAGAGAGAGAGCGTGTGTGTGTGTGTGTGTGTGTGTGTGTGTGTGTGTGTGTGTGTGTGTGTGTGTGTGTGTGTGTGTGTGTGTGTGTGTGTGTGTGTGTGTGCGCTACTTTCTAATCGATCACAGTAAATGACAAGAAATTGTAAATCTGTCAGAACAGTTTGTAAATGCAGTAATGTTCCCCTAAGGCCAATATCAAAGAAGCTCTTTTGCATCCAATAAAAACAGAAAAGTGTTAATAAAAGTTTTTGATTTGCTTTTTCAACTATTTTAGGTTTTGCTGACATTATTTTACAACTCAGGCAAAAAAAACAGGTCATGGTCATTAACTTTAAACTGAGACATTTAGATAAATATCTGTAAATAAATAAACATCTGTCCTATCAGGGTTGATCATATTCAGTGTAAAGGTGCCGACTCTCACAGCAGTTTTGCTCACCATTAAAACACCAATGAAGAGTTTATTTTTGAGGATATTTATTGCAAACCCCAAATAATATATCAAATGACTTTTATTAAGTTTTACGAAGAGCTTTGTGAAGTTGTGTTGCTTATTTCGCACATTAACTCACATCCTTTATTCTTCTACTGTTTGTCAAACTTAAAGTTTTTTATTAAATGACTTTTAATTTGAACCAGCCGTGTGTCAATAAGAACTCTTTGCTGTTGAATAAAATATCTCAGAAACTATTTGGATGGATTGACGTGAAATGATCTGAATGTGGACTTTCATAATTCCCCGAGATAAACCTTAATGACGTGGTTAAAACACCGCAGGTGAGTCAATAGTAATCCTCATGTAATATTTAAGATAATGATGAAAACTTTTGTTAAAAGTAATTGACAAAAGTTTGCAGCAAAGACCAGAAACATGTTCCTGTATGAAGATGGTATCAGGGGAACATTAATGAAGGACTGACAGCAGGTTTTTTTTCCCCTCCTGCTTTCATGGAGTTATTAGTCTGAACAAACAGCGTGTTTTAAATCGTCTCCCTCCTGTCTGTCAAACCTCCTTAAACTGGCTCATGCCTCTAAAAACCTGCTCAACAGCTGTTATTATTAAACTAAAGAAAAAGTTCTTCTCCGTGGTCACGTCACTTTTTGTTTGTCGTGGTAATAACCAAAGGAGAGATAAGAGCAGCGTCTGACAGACGATCATTTCCTCCGACGGGTTTTACAGGCTGAAGACTTTGCCGAGTCATGATTGTGATTCATATCTGCAGCTTCATGTCATCCGTGTGTTATTAGAAATCAGTCATGGATGAGGAAGCTCTGAATGTCTTTCTTCTCGCTCCACAACTTTCATTATCACCTCAAACTAAAATTACATTTCCTTACATTTCACTCTGCCTTATCTTTTTTTTTAAAATTCTGTTCAGCCCCTGAGTCCGTCCTCCCAGCGCCGTCTGAAGCAGCTAACTGATAAGCACGGGTCTGGAAAGATCTACCAGGTGGTGGGGACTGTGGTTGGCAGCAGGGACCTGGACCTGAACCTGGCCAGAGGGGAGCTTGTGGCCATCATCAGCGAGTCAGACACCCGTGGAGATAAAAAGAGATGGCTGGTCGATGCAGGAGGTACGGATCGAAACCCAAAACTGTATAAATGTGATTAAAAAAAAACTGTCTGTTGTTTGGATGATTAATATGAAACAGTTAATATTAACAATCTGCTCATGGAGATGATGTATGGAGGATTAACTGAATGCAGCTCTGTGGCACCACCTTTTGGATGTTTGGTGTTAATGCAATAATAAACCAATCAACAGGTAGGTAAGAGAACAGTGCTGTTGGAGTAATCTGAAGGAGAATTTACTCAGAAAAGTGTGAAGTTTTTTGATTAAATATAAGAACTTTTTTTACACCAGGAAGTTTTAAAACCCTGTTTTTTTAGTAGAGGATGTTTGATCTCATGTAACTAGTTAAAGTTACAGAAAGAAAATTTAGAAAGAAACACAGTTATTGACTTTAATTCTTGATCAAATCTGCAGGTAAATCATCAATGATTGTGTTGTGCATGTGCATGGACTGAAGTTTCCAGGTTTTCATGTTTGTTTGTTTTTTTTATGCACCTCTATCTGTATTTGCAAAAATTCAGCTGCAAACTGTGAACTCTGAAAGACAAGGAGAGGATGCAGCAGTAGTTTGTGACTGACTACCTGAGCAGGTGCAGCTCCAGCCAAGTGATGCATCAAAACAAATATGGCTGACGCAGCTAGAGCGCCTTACATGAACATCACAGACAGTGAAAGGACGCTCTTATCATCCAAAAGTTCACTCCTCTTGAAATCAATAAATACTGTCTGTATCTTTTGTTCCCTTGGCAACAGAGGTATATTTACCACTGCGAGATGGATGCACCACATCTGTCATGTTGGTATTTTAGAATAAGCTACAGCTGAAAATGATATTAACTTCCTGTCACAATATTTTTAACCGTTGACTCTTCACACAGGCAGAAGAGGTTACGCTCCGTCCTCAAAGCTGATTCGGTATCACCAGCCGACAGATGACCCGCCCCCTTCACCACACCTGGCCTTACCTGAGAGCGTCTCTGGAATCCGAAGACACTCTTACACGCCGGAGGGTCGCCCACTGACGGTCATGAGCCAGCCCTGCTTCCAGGTAGCGTCTTACTCACCGGTCAGAGCACTGTAACCACATCCGAATTTCAATGAGGGTAAAAAAAATGGGGCGACTTTTAGAGCGTACAACCTGCGTGAGAGGCTAACAGTCCTCGCTATGAGGTGGTGGTAGCAGGTATTCATCTCTTCCCGTCCAGTTATGCACCACTCTTCCTCACCACCCAGCCAGTTTCAATCAGACCATCATATCACCCTTTGTAAAGAGCGAGGGACTACCTGGTCGCCGTTTCCCCTCTCCCTTTGATTGTGTAAAGTGATAAGGTCAGCTGATCAGCGAATCAGATTGATTTCTATCACCAGTGAGGCTCTGCTTCTGGTTCAGCCTGCTGGATCAGCGGACAAACCTCAAACAGTGGCGACTACTGAGGAAGACATCACAGAAACACCAGATTGATTAAATTAGAATAAATATGATAAATAATGTCACACAGAGCTGTTTGAAGGGGCTGATATCTGCAGCCGAACAGGAGCAACACGAACTCTTCAAACAGGGAGCGGTGTGGGTCGTTGAAGATTGATTAGTCCTGGTCTCGTCACACAACTCATGTTTACGTTCCTATTGCATCAGAACAGCATCCATGTTTGGCGTGTGGGCTCCGTGACTCCTCACAGTCGTACTCTCACATGCAGAAACTGAGGAGTGATGAAACAATATCTTTAACCCCCCAGTCAGAGATTGTAGGTGGATGCTCGGGTGGTGGTAGGGCTGAAAATTTGATGCATGGCAGTGCTGGAAGACGAAAAGCAAAGATAGAGACTGGAAATCTTACAGCTTGAATATTGCAAATTGGGAGTGTGTTGGTCATGTGATTTTGAGAGTGAAATCAGTGCAGCGATTACTACGGGTGGGAGAAAAAATCAATTCACACAAGTATCGTAATTTTTTTGTTTTACAATTTTTTTTTTTTTCCAAATTTAAGAAGAAATCTTAAAAACTGACTTACATGTGATGAATTTTTTTTGAAAAATGGTTCCTGGAATAGTCAGTAAACACTCATAATCATTCAACTGTTTTATTGGTGTTAGAAACGCAGACTAAAAATCAAGAAAAACAGCACTATCGTAGAATCGCAATCTAAATTGGATCGGCATCCATAAAATTTGCAGAAGAATCAAGCGTACCGTCCCAGCCCTGGCGGTTGCGTCTCATGTGGAGGTCATGGTCCTCCAGCAGGGTACCCAAGCTGCAGCTCTTCACTGCGTTTCGCTCCTTCACATGAAAGCTCCTAAATAAATGATTGTTTGAGAGACAATCAGCAGATTTAATGTCTTTGTCTGAGTGAATAATGACGCAGGTCTCAGGCTGGATGTTCGTTTGACCTCAACTCACTGCTCTCAAACTTTGACTGTGTTCATTCTTCAAACTTTAAGGCCTCCGTGTGTTTCTGAGCCGAAGCTTTGACTGATAGGCGTGACAGGATCCCACTACAAAAGCATCAATCTGTCACATGTCTCATCACCACTGTGTGTGTGTGTTTGTGCGCGTGTGTGTGTGTGTAATCATGTGAAAGATAGTGCTCGCCTGTGTGTTATTAATGGAAAGGTCTGTAATTAGCTGTTTAACCTTGTAAGTGGGTTACGGTGTGAAGGGTCGAGAGTTAATTTATGCCGTGCAGCGCTGCAGAGGAGAGATAGAGCATGTGTGTGTGTGTAAGTGTGTGTCTGTGTGTAAGTGTGTGTGTCAAGAGGTTGATTTACATTTGCAACACATGCGAGCGTGAGTGGAGAGTGTCATGGCTTGTAAATTTGTGGTGGTTTATGTGGATGTGCACACGGGAACGAGGGAGATTTAGATGAGTGGATGAGGAGGCAGGTCTGCGTCAGGTGTGTGTGTGTGTGTGTGTGTGTGTGTGTGTGTGTGTGTGTGTGTGTGTGTGTGTGTGTGTGGGAGAGATATGTCTCCACATCGCCTCTTAAACTGAGTGATTGCTCTGGTGACCTCATAGCGGCGGTTTTTCATGCCCCCCTCCCCCCACATCCAACCCTCCTGACCCTGAGTCTGCTCATATAGAAAACACACACAGCCTGCACACACTCCCTCAGACTCACCGCTCTTTACATGCAAACTCCAACCTTAAAGATATAACACGCTTTTATCATGACGTACCTGTGCTGACCTTTAGAGAGTATTACAGGTGTGACTGTAGCTGTCTGTCTGTGTGACATGAACAGAGTCATATGTCCTGAGTGCAGACTGCCAATCCAGCGTCAGCCTCACTGTGACCCTGTAAGAAGGTTTCTGTATCATCACTCAAGATCTGACTGACTATGAACTGTGACTGCAGGTTCATGTGGAATAATGCAGTCGAAGGGAAACAGTACTGAGAAATACTATGTGATACAATACAATACAACAGTAAGACACAATAGGGTAAAAAATAAAACAATATGGACAAATATAATACAGTTCAATACAATATAATACAAGTTTAAGAGATGATACGGTACAAAAAAACATAGTACAAAAGATCAAAATCTAGTTTACAGTTTAATAGGATATGACGCGTTATAGTACGATACAATACCATATGAAATAACACTATAAATAACAACACAATAAGACACGTTTCCATGGTTACATACAGTACAGTTATACATGATACATGAACATACAATATCTAGGGCCCTATGAAATCCATTTTATTTTTTTTTAGAATTCCGTTGTTTTATCTTTTACACTTATTTACGACCATAGCGTGTGTGCTTTTACTGTCAGGTCTGGCTAGTCGCAGCAGCACGACAAGTGGTCATCACACGTAGTTTATGTTGACAGATTTTGTCACCTGACACACAAAAGTCATTTGGATATTGTGTCTCTGGTAGCGGCTTCGACATGCTGTTTATGCAGAAGGGAGGGGGAGGGGGAAAGATGCACGAGCAGTGCCACGAATGAGCGGTCCCTGGGAACATTTCCCTCACGATAACAGCATTTCAGTCACATTATGCCAATTTCCATGTAACAGTAGATTCAGTTTTCATTGGCCAATTCTGCGATTCTATTAACGCTGAAATCATAGGGCCCTAAAAAACATACGATAAAGTTAAATATAAGAGTGATAGAAGTCAGAAACTTATGATACAGGATAGGATAAGAGGGCGTACAATACAATAACATATGATACCATACGATTTGATATAATAAAACATACATTAGCTCACAATCTGGTTCAGTTTCATAATACACTGTCAAACAAGACACAATAGGGTAGGATCCAAAATAATACTTCATGACACAAAAGGACATAAATATTTGTGTTTTTAAAGTTTATTTGAACATATTTATAATGATTGAAGAAGAAACCCTACAGACTGGATTAAAGTGGGAAAGATTTTCTTCAAATCTGGATTAATGCTCTAAGTAACAGACTCCTGTATGGTCTATATCATTATTTCGTATGTGGAGCTTCCTCACCTTTATGCAGACTTTCATCTTAGTTTGAACCTTTGTTTAACGTCTAGTGTCCTCATATTTCTGTCCAAAATGCTGCACAGGTGGTGTCATTAGAGCTCATAGAAATCCTGGGAAAGGGTAATATTATCAATAAATTCCAGTCTGGCTCCTGCAGACGTGCAGCAAGTCTCTGCCAGCTCTGCCTCCACTCCCTTCATTTCCATCAGAGTCCATCATGAGATATTCAGCCGGCTCCCTCGCAGCCATGGACGGTCACTTAACTCTCTTCCTGTTTCTTACCCTCCGTGTCCGTGCCGGGCAAAATGCTAATCTATGTAAATCGGTGGGAGTCGTCAGGACGGAGCAGATTTTGTAGCTGAGAGGTGAGCTGGGGTGAAGGGTTTGATAATGACATAGAGCAGCCGGCTAAAGTCAGCTATTATCACTGCTGAGACACTTTCATACAAACACAGGGCTCATTAGGAGGCCTTCGTTTTCACGTGTGTGTCTGTGTGTGTGGGAATGAGATGGGATTTGTCAAGACATAACTAGCGGCCTTAACCTTTTCAGAGAATATTACAATGATTCGAGGTTGTGTTTGAGAGTGTGTGTCTCACTTTTGTACCTGTGTGCATAAATTACACTCACTTCTGACCTGAAACTGCGTCACCAATATCCGTTTTTTCTCCCTAATAATCAGACAGTCCTGTATTTTTGCCCTCTCTTGTTGTTTGACTTCTCCTCTTGTTTCCGTCTCCTCTTCCTAGGTGGTTGCGGGCTATAACTTCAACGCACGGGGAAACCATGAGGTCTCTGTCCGGGCAGGCGAGCCAGTTCGCGTCCTGGAGCCACATGATAAACGAGGAAACCCCGAGTGGAGTTTGGTGGAGACGAGAGGAGGGCAGAGAGGATACGTACCCTCCAACTACCTCACAATCATGGCCGCCAGAACCGGGACACCTGGAGCTCCCCTGGGTTTCTGCTGAGAGAGGAGGAGGGATGGAGGGCGGCGTGTGCAGTACGACAAAGAATCAGTGTTTCAAAACAGACTTCAGAGCAATTTCAGACAAGCGTTTGTCGATCGCAGTGTTACAGAAATAAGCGAAATTATCCCCACTTTCCAGCATAAGCTATTCATCTTTTAGAAATGTCATTTAAAAGCCAGAGCAGCGAGATCATTTCAAGTCAGACGATTTAAATATCATAACCAAATATGCCAAATATTCCTGAAAGAGCTTTAGTGCTATAAACCTAACAAACGTCTTCAAAGAGCACTTTTTAATATCCGAGTTTCAAAAGCAGCAGAAACAAGAACATAAATCTCGTTTAAAAGTTCTCTTGAAGACGAATGAATCTCTGGAAATATTCGTCTTTACTTTAAGTCGGATCTGAGGTCCCTCAGGCTTCAGCGTCATACACTTTAAAGGTGCTCCACGCTCGTGTTTCTGCAGGAAGCACCATGACGTGTCTCAGCTGCGATTCCCCGACCTGCTTCACTAAAGATGTGCTGAGTTGATTTCCAAGAGAGCCCGGGTCACGAGCACGCCAAGTTGAACAGAATAACCAAACACAGCAGCAGCTTATATAATTAAGTCAGTTTAAAAATGTTTAAAATGTGATGCATGGACTCTTTACCATAAATCAGACCGTTTCCAGGAGACGCTCTCGTTGGTGATGGATGTATCGTTAAAAACCAAGAAGAGAAATCCACGTATCAGTGAGCCGTGTCAATCAGATCGGGACTAAAACGGCACGATCTCGTGGAGTTCCTCTGTGATTTTGGGATCTTACAAGTCCAGCTGTGCTTCACTTCTAAGACCCTCCCAGTGGTGCAGGGCGTGTGCAGAAAGAAGACTATTAACCAGGAAGCTAGAGGAGCTCGTTTTGTGTTTTGAAGGCCATTCCTGCACTAACTCATACATATTTAAAACCATCCTCCTCCTTTTCACTCTTACAAACGTCCCTCTGAAGTCGTGACGACATTGATGACGACGAGTGAACAAACTTGAAGGAAACTGCACTGATGTCTAATCTGTAACAGGCAACCATGAATCAACAGTATTTGACGGGTCTGCTTCTCTGTGGGCGTGGCCTTACTTGTGAAAAACGAAGGCGCCTCGGTTGCCCGGCTCAAAGGCACTCCAGCAGGACTTGGCTGAGATAGACTCCTAATAGACTCATGAAGGACGAAGGACTGATCTTCAAGTTGCACTGCAGTGTGTTTTTTTTTTTTCATCTCAGAAGGATCAGAGACGATGAAGGAAGAGTTTGGAGGTCGACTCATACAGTTCGACACTTGAATTGTTTGTCGTGTTCCCGTTTGTGTTTGCGAGCTAACTGCAGCACTTAGACACACACACAGCTGAAGTTTGAGTGTGTGCATCTGTTTGAGCTGAAGGGTGTGTGTGCATGCGTTTGTGCGTGTGTGTGCGCGGTCTCCTCCACCTCCTAACCTGAAGGCTGCAGCAGCACTGTATCCACACTGACAGGTACACCGTGCTCTCATCATCTGAGGCGGTGTAATGTGATGTAAATATACGATGTCTCCAGGGCCGACAGACAGACAGGGAGAGAGAGAGAGAGAGAGAGAGAGGAGGAGACAGAGGGAGGAATTTAAAGAGGAACTAAAGGAGTTAGAGGGGAAAGAGGAAGAGGACATGAGGAGGATGAGCAGGAGGCAGAGTCCTCTTGTTTCTCCTCCTCCTCTCGGCTCTTCGCTGATTTAAATCCACTTTTCTTAAAGGCTCCTCCTCTTCTTTCGAGACGAAACCGCTCCTTAAAGTTCGCGGCTGAGGTGGTGATCATGATTATGCAGAAGTGAAACCGCCTGTATTTATTACGAGCACCTGATTTCGCTTGTTGCCATGGATACCGATAATTCAATGCAGGTCCCGTCCGGCTGTGCCATTTCTGCAATTTGGCTGGACAGCAGGAACATTTAGTTCCAGCTGAATGGAAGTTGTTTTTCTGTCATCTTCAGGTGGAGTTTCGCTGCTTCAGTGTCTTCATGTCAGAAAGTTTATAAAACCTGTCAGACAAGAGGAAACGCTCTGCACTGAAAACAAAGCACCACTGTCTCAGTGTGACGTTTATTCTCATCACAGTTTATTTCTATGAAGGATCAGTAAACAGAGAAGAGTACAGTTTAGTTTGTCCATCATAGGCTACAGTAGAAACACGGCTAAAGAGGACTCACTTTGACAGCAAGTTATTGTGTTTTACAAACTCGGAGCAAACTACGATATTAGAAAAGTTAAAACGATAATTGAGAGTAAAATCAAAACAGCTGCTTTTTCAAAAACAAAGAAAAAACAGGCGAATAAGAAAGGAAGAAAGACGCACACATCAAGACTAATCTCACTTTCTTGTTATTAATGACACTAAAACATGTTCCCAGAGTTTGAATATTTCAGCTGCAGCCCTGAACATGTATAATTTTACTTCTCATGAGAAGAACATCTTAAATCCTCAATAACCTTCATTAATACTGTTGTTCATATATGAAGTCCTTCAGGTTGGAGAAGTGTCTTGCTGGTCTTTCCGCCTCCTTCACCCACAATCAGCCCAAGACCTCCACCTTCAAGCGACCTGATTGGTCGGTGGGTGGAGTTTTACGCCTTCAAAATGACTTGTTGATTGTCTTTTAGTGCTTTGAAGGTCATAAAGATGCACCAGGATGAGTGTGAGTCTGTTTCTGATCTGGTTAAAAACTCCTCACTGTGCCTTTAAGGAAACAGAAAGATGTATTTCTCTGGCAGATGTTTAAAGAGGCTCCAGCCTGTCTGCTCGTACTGCTTCCTCTGCATCCCACCTCCACCCTAACTTTTCTTTGTGCTGTTTCTGATTTACTTGTGTCGTACATGTCGCTCAGTTTTGCTGCTGCTCTTCCTTCTTTGGCTTTTCACACATGCCTGTGGAAACGCAGGGGACTCCCAGAACAGATGTAAGTGGTCCTGACTGAAACACAGATACTATTTCCAGCTAATGATTAGTTTCTAGATTAACTGTGTTATTTGTTGGATCACGACCTGATTCTGGACTCATACTGCTTGGATTTGAGACAATCTTGGTGTGTGGGTTTGGAAGAGTTTAATTGTAATGGATGAAAAGTGTGAAAAATGAATTTAGCTGCTTCGAAAAGAGAATTTCACCTTTTTAAGGCCAAGAAACTGACGTTATTTCAAGAGGGAAAATGAAGCTGTGAAGAGAGGAAAGTGTGACATTCATGACAGTCTTAATAGAGGGATGAGTTCTGCAGAAGATGGAGCCTCTATTGAGGGTGGTGCTGTATCAGCTGCTGTGGATGTGAAGCAGAGGGAGGGAGAGAAGGAGGAACAGCAGCTCAGCTGGAGCTTAGCTGTCCCCAAACGTTTGAATGTCAGGACGGAGCAGAGCAGCAGGAGGGACGGGGAGTTGTTTGTGTCTGATCTGTTACCGTTAAACCCAAATACCAAATGCTCCGAGGTGAGACCGAGAATTTGACTGACTTTTGGAGTCCAGATTCAATCAGATTGTCTTGTTTATGAATGTATTTTTGATTCACATGAAGGAAAAACAAGCGTGAAGCTGCTGTTGGTGAAGATTTTTGCAAATGAGAATCCAATTTATGTTTTCTGACTTCCTGCAGAAAAAAACGATAAAAAACAGAAATAATAATGTATTTTTGTTCCCTACAATCATCTATTTTTATCAGATTGTTCAGTGATGAGGGAATAACTTTGTCCATACAGGGATGTGTGTTTGTGTTTACTCCCTAATAAGGTGTCATTCAACCTTCGGCCACTAGAGGGAGCAGGAGACCTCGGCTGGTTGTGTTTGAATGGCGAGTCTGTGCGTTTGAATGTAACTTGAAACTGTTTGTGAGTGAATGTGTGTGAGAGGAGGAGAGCCCTCTTTACCTTTGCAGTATTAGTGCTTCGACACGACCCTGTACATTGTGTTCATATTGTTCAGTTGTGTATTTTTTTATTATTAACCATGTGAAGATGTGTAACCTGTTAAACCTGCTGATGATCCGGTTTGTCAGTCTGTACAGCATTTCTGTTAAATAACTTATTGTTTTGTATCTGTGCTTTTTTAACTTATTCGATGCCGCGGGACCGCGTGTCCTGAGATGACTCACCAAGTCTTTCAAGTGTTGCCAAAGTTATGATCACTCTCGCACTCACACACACACACACGTAGTCACACAGCAGATGGGGGTGTGTGCAGTGCGGCGGTAGTATCTGTCAGGACAGCTGTGGGCTGACTGCGTGTGGCTTCAATAAAACTAAACAGAATCCTGCTCCAAGTCCTTGTGTCACTTCACACCGACACAAAATGCAAAATATGTGATCTTAGTGACAAGCTGCTGCGACAGAAACCAGTTCTGAAGGAGCAGCGGGGTTCAAAATGTGTGCGAATCTTTGTCAGTAAGCTGTAACATCAGGGACACTGACGGGTGAAGTGAATAACTCTGATTATCTCGTTGAGGTGGCACCTGTCAGAGGGCGGGATGTGCTGAGAAGTAAGCAAACATTTTGTCCTTGAAGCGGGAAAAAATGAGGACCTAACAGAAGTCACTCAGTACCAACAAAAGGTCGTGAACGATGATTTGTAGATTTCCTACAAGAGGAGCTGGAAAAGCTCACGCTGGCTCTGACAGTTGCAGACTCGTCAGGATCGACCTGTTCGACTGAAACTGCCTCAGATTCTTTGATTGTCCACCTGAGCTCCATCTTCTCTTCGGTTCCTCTGGACTGTTGCTGCAGACATGAACATCAACCTCACGGACTTTACCAATATAGCTGAAATAAACCACTATTAGGCCTGCTGACTGTAATCACATTAAATTAATTTAACATAGTCCATCATTACTTCTATCCTAATCCTGTAAACGGAATAATTCATATTGTTTCATCATTATTTGCTCTGCAACCACAACTCTGTATGAGCTGTTGTTGTTTTCATGTTGCTGCTATCCCATCTCTCTCTCTCTCTCTCTCTCTCTCTCTCTCTCTCTCTCTCTCTCTCTCTCTCTCTAACCCTAGTTCTCTATTCTCTCTTCCTCCCTCTCCCTTGCGAGGGGACTGTCTAACACGAGTCTGGTCCTTCTCAAGGTTTCTGCCTGTTAAAAGGTTTTTCCTTGCCAGTCAGTGCGTTTACATACACAGCTTAATCAGACTAAGCTCATAATTCGTTGTTTTTTTTTTTTTTCGCTGAATCGGACTTCTTTCCTCGTCCGTGTACACATGCAGCTGAGAAAATCAAACTATTGGCGTGAATGTGTCCTCCTCCCCAAAACTAGGGGGCGATATCATGGGTCTTTTCAGCGGTGCTGTTTCCGGTTGACTCCATTCAACCGTCAACAACAACAGCAGGTCCGTGCCAGACGTTAGAAGTGTCTACGACTGCTGCTCGGCATTTTGGAGCAAGAAGATGGAGCATCTTATAGCGTTGTTTTTGTCGTACATGATGTCTAGCTACTTTTTCTGCAGATGAGACGCACACTGCTCCTCTTTTTGGTGTTTTTGTTCCAGAGTTACGGAGGCGTGGCTCACGCACACATTAATTGTCCAATCATACTCCGACTACGCCGGTTACATGGTAGAGAAAATCGAACTCCAATCACATTATCTGGGTGTCTTAATCGGTCTTTGGCAGTTAATCAAACAATGAGCGTGGTCAAGACCTGCTCTCTTTGGGAAAGTGTCTTGGGCTGATGATGGTTGTGATTTGGCTCTAGAAAAGATTTGCAAGAAAAGAAGATGGACAAGTGACAAAGAACAGCTTCTCTGTATTCAAACCGTAGAAGACCCCAAACAAACCAGTGAACCGCCATCATCTCTGCATTCGTGTAATGCATAAAAACAACTTCCATGCACACGCAGGTCAGCGTTTCCAAAACCTCCAGTTTCAGTGACCTAAGACTGCATGTGTCGCGTAGCTGAATTTTCTGAGTCTTTGTGTACTACTCCGAAAGTTTCAAGTCCTTGAGTTACAAAAAGTGTAGAACAGATTTTGGGAACTCAACTTTTGTTATTGAGGAGAAATAAAGGAGGGTGGATAATGGTGACAGTCAAACTTTTTAAAGTGGACTTTATTTCTCGAGGAGGAGGCATCATGTTGCCAAACATGCAGGATAACGAGGACAGCGAGGAAGGGGACAGTCTGAACAAGCTGTATTCAGCTGTGAGTCACAATTAAGAGCTAAAAGTAACCTGCTGCTGTCTCTACTGTGCACCTGCTAGTTATATACTACACAAAACCTCACCTTAGAAAGTATCTGTGTCAATTCACCTGTCGAGTCCAGAAATAAGGCCTCTGTCAAGATAACAGACCCCAAAAATAAGAGCCGTAAAAGTTTCTTGAACTTTACGACTTTTTAGTAATTTTTATGTTGTTTATTGCAACCAATTCAAGTCAAATATTTGTCATGAAGCAGGTTGAATTAAGACATTGCTCTGGACCAGTCAGGTAGTGTTGTGTCATTCACGAACGATTCACTCAAAAGAACCGAATCCTTTAAGTGAACGTACTGAACCGAATCACTTCCTTGAGTGTTTCGTTCGTTTCTCACTTAAGTTGAGCTGAAGTGAGAAACAGCACGGCCAAGCCAGCAGCCAGCGAACGAGGGACCACATGCACCGACGCCTGAATCACCTGGTGAACGAATCGCACATTGAACTTCACTCTCTGGAATCATTTTTTGTCAGACAAAACTACCTTTTTTTTTCACTGCTAAATTTCCAACACAACAACTTTCATACAGTAGGACACAGCATGGAACAAGTAGTGCATTAAACCCGCAGGATCCTATTATTGCAGCGGTTTGCGAGGGAACGGTTTAATGTTCAGTTTGAATTCTTCTAAACGTTTAGTGAACGAATCACTCACTGACCCCAACTTACTAAGCAGACCTGATAAATAGCATACCATAGGGCAGTACACCTAAAACATCATGACTTATAAACAAGTTCATTTTTACAAACCTGTTTGCCAAAGCGACACAACCAGACACTCTCGTCTCCCGGTCCCAGAAGCTTTGAATTGAACTGAATCCTGAACCGTTCAGCTGTGTATCAGTTCAGGAGGTCGGAGTCACAGGCTTCTCCCGCTAAATGATTCAGTGATTGGGTAATCAAATCTTTTGAACGAATCTTTTTGGTGAAATGATTCTAGTGATTCAGTACATCTAAAAGAACTGACGTGCCCATCACTACAGTCAGGTGAATGTGGCTTGAATTAATAGGTGGGTGCAAGAATGAGTCAAAAATCGAATCAGCAAATTATGTGCTTTTATTTTTTAATGGCGCTAAACCCATGTGCAGCATTTTCAGTGTTAACCAGACCAGCTTTAGATGATGCCACTTGAACCCGTGCAGCTCAGTTTGCTCTCCAATAACTGCTTTAACTCCCCCTCTAAGACGTCCCACCTCCTCTTATATATCAGCTGGCACCAACCAAGAGTCAGGGGTTAATGATTTCTAATCAATTAAGTCACCTTAGCCTCCTGTCTGCTCTGCGTATGTGCCAAACATTAGCAGTGGGGTTACATCCAAGTGCATTTACATAAAGTTCATCCTCAGGTTAGCATTAAAGAGCGTTTCTTATGTCCACCTCCCTCAAACACGTTGGGCTACCTTCCTCTTCGTCTGTGTCCTCTTGAGTGGATCTCGATGCTTCCTGGTAAAATTAATCTCTTAGTGATTGTTATGGAGGAAGAAAAAGTCCCTGCTGTGAATGACGCTGATTCCCGCGCTCCCTCAGCGCCAATTTTCAGGCGCTGCTCCTGATCTTAGTGGTGCTATTTGACACTTAATCTGGTCTTAACTGGAATAAACGCTGTTGATAATTGTTTCAGGCAACTTTACTGTTTAAAGACCACATAATTTGGACATTATGCGCCTCCCTGGGAGCTGGTTTTAATTCTGAAAACAGCTGGACCCTGAGGTTGATGACAGGAGCTTTCCTTTAAAAAAAAAAGACCCACACAGTCTGTGTCATTTCAGTCGTTGACTCTGCACAAACCAGTTTTGGCAGATTCTTAATGGCTGAACATATTTGCAGAGTAAACTTTGCCCCGCGCAGGTTTGCCGTGAGAACAAGCCAGCTGTCCAAAAGTGGTCGGATTCCTCTTCATCTGCATCTTATTCCTCTGTGATTTTATTATTTTTTTAATATCTAACCTCCTGTCCTCCTGTCTCACCTCTATGATTCATCTTCTTCCTGAGACTGTTTCAAATCCGACCAATCGTCCTCCTCCTCCTCCTCTCTTATTTTCGCCTCAGTGCATAACCAAACAATTCATAAATTCACATCTTCTCTGCGCTGCTTTAGTCATTTAGTTTCTCCGCAGCAGCAGCAGCAGGTGTGTGTTTCAACTGCTCACAGGTACCTCTTTCATCTTCATACACTCTCAGCTTCACAGAGTGTGGAATAAATGCACATCCAGAGCTGCAGTGACTGAGCACAAACACACACACACAGACACACACGGGTCCATTTGTATGCTGTGCTGTGTTAAGCTTTGTTTCTGTTTCGGATGAGTTCAGTGTACAGTTCACCTGCTGCATGAATGTAAATCAGCTCGGCAGCAAATATCTCCCACTGAAAGAAAATAGGGAAAATGTTCTGACGATGTATTTTTATATTCCACTCATAAGATGTTTTCGGATACACACCCGCCGTCAGAGGCTGTTTGTAACGCCTGCTTTTACCGGCGTTGTTCTCTGCATCCATTAACAAAAACAAAACACCCAGCTACAGGTGCCCTAATGGCTGCTTTTATTTCCTCTTCTCTCTCTATTAAAAGAGGAGAAATGAAATGCTAAATAGAGAACGTGAGACAAAACGATTCGAAGCGCTCAGTCGCGGTGGCTGAGTAAGAAACCCGAGCTGACAGATATTAATGACGTGAAAACAGAAACAGGAGGGGGCAGAAACTGAGCCGGCGGTTTGCTCTTTAAGTGGGTTCAAGGAAACAACAGGACGTCCAGAAACCGTGCCAGAATAACTGTAGGACAGAACCTTTACTAAACACGAACGGTAGGTTGTGGAGATACATTTTGGGTGTTCGTACACTCAGTCCCTGTTATATAAAAGGGAAACATGCTGTTTAAAAGATGCCTGGAGAAAGAAGTGGAGTCATGTAGGATCAGCTGTTTAAAAGCCCTGAAAAAGTTCCAACCATAGACTGTATACAGAACGGACGCCGTCTGCCTCTTTGCTGGGTGAAGCTACCGCGACGACAGCACCCTCTGGTGACGGGCTGCAGTATAGGTCATAAACCCCGCCTCCTCCAAATTCAACTTTATTTTTATAGCACTATTCAGACAAAAAAATGCAGTTCAAAGTGTCTCACAGAGGCTAAAAACAACAATTAACAACAATACCTGACCCTCCCACCCACACACACACACTCACCCACACATACACACACACAAGTGCACACAGTGTGAGAATTTAAGATATTGTTAAAGAGAAATGGCCTGACACTGAGATATCATGTGAGGAAAGAGCTACCTTTAGGAAACACTGGAGATAAAAATAGAGATAAAATAGTAAAAAGACTAAAACCTGATTGACTAAAACAAGAAAATGATATTAAAAGCTCCTTAACATGTAAAAGGGGTAAAATAAGTAAAAAACCTGTGACAGGAAGTAAGAAAAAGACTAATAACAGAGATAATTAATAAAATGACATAAAATAAACATTAAGAACTTTGATTAAACAGAACATTTGCAATATTAATAGTTATTAATAGTTAGAAACTGAATCCTAGCTGGTTTGGCTCCTATCCAGAGAGCCTCTGGGAGGTAGTCGAATTTTAGATGTTCTGATAGAGAGATCTTAAATACTCTAACAGAGCAAAGCAAACTGTTTCCCCTGCCTCTGGTCTTTAAGATTTACGAGGCCAATCACTTCTTGATTCCAGCTCTATCTGTGTCCAGTCTGATTCCTGAAAGGGACTAAAGAGGTTAAACCAACACGCTTGCTAAGCTCATTCTGAAATCTGTGTCGGTAACATAGCTGTACAATCTTCAGAGTAAAGTTCTGTAAGGTAACCTCCTTTTGTTGATTAAAAAAATCTTATGGTAAATGTTCATTATGGTACATTAAGGTTCTCCAGTCACCTCTAACAGCTATCAAACATTCAAGAACACCGAGGATTATTTCCCTTATAGCGGGCGGCTCTCCTGGGCTTCTGTGCGAGGTACGGCGGTCCATTTTGTCCAGCTCTCCAATCAGGTTTTGAGTTCAGTGATGACAGACGGTGGAAACATGACGGACGGCATCAATTTAGCTTCAGGGGGAGGTGATGGAAAAGTTGATTTGCTGTATTTCCAGGTCCTTGGAGCTCTTGATCCTCCTGAGACCTCTGTTAGAGTGTAGAACAGGAGGTCACTATATAAGGAAATGTCAGTGATAGTTTTCATGCTGTTGTTGTTAGAGCTGCTGAAACTGGAGTGCATACATTTGCAAGAATCTGCATACACACACATGCAAAGTTATGCATGCATTTGCTGTTCTGAGAGCACATTCATGGATCTCAGTAAAATGGAATTTGCACTAAAATCTTCGTTTACATTTTGGATCGGTTCTCATATTGATCAAAAATCTCCCTCCTCATCTTTAAAGTCATGGTTGATGATCTGAGAAGCAGTTAAAAAAAACTGAGCCGCTGAGGCAGATTTGAAAAAAAGCATCCCCCCCCCCCCCACACACACACACACACACACAAACCTCTCAGAGTTGGATTCACCATGTCGGATTGTTAGTGACTAGCGGCAGTAAACGCCAGCTCTGCTAGCGAGCGCCGTCTGCAGCTGCCTGAACAGCTACCATGTTGACGTTGCAGAGACTAATAAGAGTTATTTATGTAACATGTGCCACGGTAACTCTGCTGTCTGGGCGTCTGTTTTCGGGACCAAATCCAAGTCGGTTAGCGTTTTCTTAGCGCTGTTGGCGGAGTGGCGAGCAGAACTGGGTTTTTTTTGCGTCCTTCTCCATCACAGCTTCTGTCGCTAAACTGCTACGCAACTTTTAGCCGCTGAGAGCTCCGAGGAGGGCTGGGAGGAGAACTTTTTTTTGTAGGATAGTAGGGAACGGTCCCGCCCTCCTCCACCTCTGATTGGCTAGGAGTGCTGGGCTCCAATTGGTTATTCCTTATGGCTGTGAAACGTCATCATCTGTCAGGTTAGGGTTAGGGTTAGGAGATTCAGAAGTGCGATAATGTTCTGTGATGTTCTGATCGATGTACACAGCCAATAACCTGTGTTTGGCCTGAGCGCGCGATGACGTTTCCAGCTTTTCCACCCAATCAGAGGCAAAGGAGGCGGGACGGGAGAGTGGGAGGGGATGAGTCGGAGAGGGGTGTGTTGAATACAGCAAGGTGATTGGATGGAAAAGCAGAACAGGAGATTGACCAATAGGAGCTGTCCAGGACGGATGGCTCCCATTGGTCAGTGTTTTTGCAGCCCTGCACCTGCTCGGGTGAACTGATTTTTTCCATTCTTTTTACTCTTCACTTTGTGTAGATCACACTACAGGACCATGATCGCCATAGAAACGAGGTTCATAATAATTACTAATCTCTCCAATCATCAACCGTGCCTTTAAGTCTGACAAAAGTAGGTCATGTTTGTTTAGTGTGGCCTGCACTGCTTCATGCTAACCGCAGCTGTAGCATCACGTCTGCTGATGTATTTTGGCTGTTTTGTTTGGGCTGGAGCGGTCCGTAGAATCGAAGCAGACAAGTGTGTGTGTGTGTGTGTGTGTGTGTGTCCTGAGTGTCTCCACAGGGAGCATTAGCTGCCTCAGCGTGCACTGGAGTGTGAACTGGTTTGGGGGCTTTTAGTGTGGCACTTAGCAAACAAATGCTGCCACTGCATTTGTGTGGAGGCACGTCAGGACGAGCTTCCCTGCAGCACGTTGGCGTGGATGTGGACGCTGCTGATGCTCGTTTTGTATAAATGTGGACATATGCATGCGAGGGGATCCTTTAACTCTGTGTGCATGTTATAGTTTCATGTAAAACCTCTTTGTATCCATTCAAGCATTCAGACAGTGAAGTGTACGTGTGTTGGTGTGTGTTGGTGTGTGTGGCGTTCACTAATGCTTACATCAGCTAACCTTTTTCCATCAGCAGCAGTTTACTGCAGAGGTTCACCTTCAGGCGGCTGATACCCTCTGAATGACTGCATGCAAGTGTGTGTTTATAAATCCATCTCAGTCTCAGTGTGTGTGTGTGTGTGTGTGTAGGAGGAGGATGCACATGCCTGCGTGTGCGCAAGTGAAGTGTGTGTGTGTGTGTGTGTGTGTGTGTGTGTGGGCTGAGCCTCAGCAGTCTAACAGTGAACAGATCTCAGGCTATAAATAGCTTGTCCGCGAACTGACGCTGAGCTAAAAATAGACACATGGCTCACAGTGCCTCCTAGAGGAGGATGGAGGAGCTGCACACTCTTCTGAAATCCTCGAATCAGATTGTGTTGCTGTTTTTTTTTTCTTTTTAGCTAGCTGTCAGGAAGGAAGGAGGAGGGAGAGCTGTAAAATAGAAGAGGACAGGAGAAAGTAAATTTTAATCCTAGTGTACGTGTGTTACACAGAAATGGTCAAAAAGCTGCAAAACAAGAGGAATATTGAGCTCTACCACCTTAAATTTAATAAAAATACGTTTTTATGAGGTTTTAAATCAACAAGGAAAGCAACAAGGAAGGTCTTTGTTATTTTCTTTTACGGTCATCCCTGTGGTTTTTATTTACCGGTAATTTGATGATGGTACATACCAAAAATTAAGGTGCAGGGTTGCACCTCAACCGCACCTCTTCTTGCTTTCCCATAAATTCAAACCCAACCATTTCCTCCTTTTTCTCTCCTGCACTCACCCCTCCTCCTCCTCCTCTCTGCTCGTCTCTCTCCCTGTCTTTTGTTTGTAAGGATCGGTCTGGGTGTCACGCTTGTTTTCATGAAGAGTTTCCCCAAAACAGATGTGATGAACTTGAAGTTTGAGCTTTGCTGATTTTCTGCGTTTTGCATCATCTGTGGTGTGAATAAAGTTAAGAAGCAACAAACACACCATCAGTGTTTGTGTGTTTGAGGAGTTTGGTTTATCCACTCCACCAGGAGCTGTGTGTTCTAGCTCATGAGTGTGTGTGCGTAAATGTGCATGTGCATGAATGAATGTGTGTGTATGTGAGTGCATACATGTTCAGAGCCACAACGGTCAACCAAACTGTTCATGTTGCTAAAGGCAGCCTCAGGGTGAGAGCGAGCCATCTGCGCCTCTGCATGCAAGAAGTGTGTGTGCGTGTGTGTGTGTGTGCGTGTGTGTGTGTGTGTGTGTGTGTGTGTGTGTGTGTGTGTGTGTGTGTGTGTGTGTGTGTGTGTGTGTGTGTCGCTGCTTCCTGCTTTACTTACAGTTGAATGTGATGATTTATAGTAAAAGGAGGCACACTAACACACTTTCCTGATTGGCTGTAGCGAACATCATAACACACTTGTGAAATCAAGGTGTTAAATCCAGTGTGTGTGTGTGTGTGTGTGTGTGTGTTTAGGTGTGTGTACTTGTGTTTATTTAGGGGTGACAGCTGATGTCTGAAATTAGGAGCTGCCAAAGTCAACCCCCCTGAGGAGACGGGAAGGTGCTGGGCTGAACTGAGATGACACACGCGTGCACACACACATGCGCATACACACACACACACACACACACACACACACACACACACAAACAGGAATGCACTCTAATGCCTCTACCTCTACAGTTAAAGACGCAGAGTTTCATCTTTGTTAAATCATCAGTGAGTCACATCGTATTTAGTCACCTTGACACCTCTTTAAAACAGTCTTCTCCGGCCTGTTTGAAACCTCTGCTGTCTTTAAATGAGTGTTTTGTCTCTTTTAGATGAACGGCTGAATACGCTCCAGAGGAGTTCACCTTCCATGCCGGGTTACGCGTTTGTGTAGCAGTTCTTTTGTAGAGGCAGTTTGGTTAGGGGAAGGTTTGAGATGCACCAGAATCATTTCATTGTACTAACAGGTATAGGGACCAATAATGCCTTAACACTTGTTGTCTTCTTCTTCTTCTTCTCTCAGTTAGTAATCTATTTCTTTGGTACCTTCTGAGCTGTCTGATGACACTTCGTGGTTAGTGAGTCTGTATTTGTGAGTTTCCAGTAGACTCATGACTTCTTCATCCTGCATCACACAATCCAAGAAGGCCAACTATTTTTCTTTGACCCCCTCTTGTGCTTTGTTTTGCAAACCCGTGAAAGCCCAAACTACAGAGGACATGGGTGAACCCATGGTACAGTCCCATATTCAACTTAAAGTAGGTTGTGTTCAATATTTATATTAAGATCATTAGTTCAGAGCCAGTCCTTAATTTGGAATCAGTCCTGCTCTTTCAGTGCCAAAGAGCTGGTTCTGGGCCAGAAAAATTGGTTCCAGATTAGCTTTCCTGTCCGGACAACTCAAGACATATTCACCGATATATGTACTGTTGCAATGACGTGGCTCCTTTTCGGACCCATCTAGTAGAAAAGCAAACCAGTTCTTCAAAGTGTGCAAGTTAAACCAGCTCTGACTCAGCAATAGCACCAGCCTAGAGCCAAGTACTGGTACCAGTGGAAATAGGGTTTTTTAGGAACTGTAACCAAGTCTAGTTCCGTCATGACCTGGATGACGGAGAATCTACACAGACGACCAAACACATAATTTTCTCCAACAACACTGTTAAAAGTCAAATGATTGTGCAAAGGAGCAGACCGTTAATATCATGTCTCAACAAGGTTAATTTTCTCTGTAGACTCTCTGCTGAGTCTCAGTAAGGAAACATTCTGTGGTAAACTTCCCTGAACTCCCCTGAGTTCACCATGCACTGGAGGGTAACAGCTGATGCACGGTGTTGTTGTATGAATTCACACAAACTAGTGTTCTTTCAAACCCCATAAAACGGACAGTTTGACCACTTCTTCTTCTTCTCAAATTATTCCCACAGGCAGATAATAATCACAGACAGGTGATTGAGATGGTCCCTTAGCTTTGATTAAGGTTGGTATTTGGGATATTGGATTATTGCCATTTTTAGAGACACTCATGCAGATTCCCACACAAATGATCGTAGATTTAAAAGACTTTTTGTAGATCTCAGGGGGACCTCTGGTAGTCCATAATGACCTTAACAAAGTCAGGATGTAGTTCGCTCTTTAGTCTCACACCTGCTCTGTCAAAGCAGGTGGAGTGTGTTTGTAGTCGTAGTCAGAGCGGTGGAGTTATAGTAAAGAGTGACATTAACACATTCCCTCAATAATCACGAGTTAAATGAGGTCAGAGGCTCTAACCTACTTTGTGTTTGTGTGTGGGTGGTACACAGTCAAACCTGTGCAGACATCCAAAAGCAGAAAGCGGTATAAACACAGTCACACATACAGATTTATTCAGGAGGTCTGCTCTGTTGTGTCGTCTGTCTCCTCTGAGCTAAAAGTAAACTCTGTCTACCTTCATCTTCCTCTTTCTCACCATCTCTGACATTTGGCACTTAGACTTATTTTAAACTTTACCGTGTGTCTCTATGTGTGTGTTTGTGTGTGAGCGTATGTGTGTTTTCTGTTCAAACTGATGCAATATTTCTATCAGCTGTTTGCTGGCGGAAAATAAGTCATTTCTGAATTTGGTGAGTGAACGCAATCATCGGTGAAAGCTCAAGCTAATGTGTTTGCAAAAAGATTATTGACTTTTGTTTTGGTAGTGACTGCAGTTTTTCCATCTTTAGGAACATTTATCCCCACTAACATTCAAAAGTTCTACTGTTGCAAAGTGCTGTTTCCATGACAACTGATTCTTGACATCAAGCCTTCATTAAACAGTAACGCAGCAGTTTGACAGGTTATGTAGGCAAAACAAAAAAGGGTGAAAACTGCAGCATACAAATCAAAATCAATGATAACCAGTAATCAATCAATCCCCTCCTCATACCAAAACCATATGACAAAAGACATCACAGTTTACAATACAATAATACATAATTTAACATGATTTGAGAGGACAGACTGCTACACAATATGAAATGCATGACAGGGTATGATTAAGTGTCAACAGCAGGTCTTGCGAAATTAAACTGATGCAGAAAAGCTGCAATTCCTCGAGTGTCCACTTGAGGCAGTCTGCAGAAGCATCAGAATCCACATACACACCAAGCCAGAGTGGGTAGAGCTGAACACAATAGATGGTACAAGAGGAGGGGACATAGTTATAATTAGGAATGGGCACGATTAATCGATCGTTGAGAAATACGTCAATCACGCAAAAGTTCGATCAATCTAATGTGATTAAAAAAAGGGCTGACAGCGTGCGTTCATCCTCCAGCAAAGATCAACCTCTGCTGGTCAGGAGGGATACCCTCTTTGTCCAGTCAGTGCGTGTTAAAGCAATGCAGTGACTGTCATTGTACGAAGGATTTTGACATCTTACAAGGGGGGGGATACAGCGTCAGCGGGCTTCTGTAGAAGTCAGAAAAAAAACATGACCTGTCTCCCTTTAGCTGGGGACAGATCATCCGTTTTGGGTGACCTGTCCCCAGCTAAAGTTGTCCCCGGAAATGCCCCAGATTTTAGCATTTCACGAATGAGAATTTAAAAAAAAGTTATCACAGTAGCCGGGCAGGTAGGAAGCACGAGTGAGCGTGTTGCACGCAATCCTGAACAACAGTTGGAGTGGGGCGTAATTTCAATGAGGAAAAACATGTTTTGGGGCAGATTTTCTGCCATACGCCTTAAAAAACTATCAAATTGATGATTGATCATTAATTAAATTTCTTAAAATGCTTTTTCCCAGTTACTATGGTGACAGCCATTGGATTGCAGCCTGCTGTTTTGAAGCCCGGATTATGACAATCTGACTGTTGGCGTTTTGGTTCATGGAGCTGTAAATGTTCAAGTTTGGCCCATAGGGTGGAGCTGAAAAGACTCTATCTGAGTCTGGCTGTCCGCGTTGTCCATTCAGGGAAGCTTCTGCGCAGCTCTCATCTGTTTTCACCATCTTGCCGGCTGCCAATATGGAAGTTGAGCTCAGCCTTCGGTATCGTTGATAGTTATGAGGTAGATGGAGACACTGCCCTCCACCAATCACCTGATGAGACCTGCTGCATCGCCCACTTTCACAAGTCAGATTGTCTCAAATTGAGGAGTCTTCCACATCAAACCAATCCATGCAAGGCTTATTTACTTAATAGTAAACCAGTGTGCATATACTGTGGCTTAGTACTTAGTTGCAGTCCACAAATTGCATGAGGAAAAGGTATTAAATGTACTTCCTATATGATGAGTTTTAGGATTCAGACTTTGACTTGCAGAGAATGGGATTTTAGAGTATCTGCATGTACACCTTAACACCTGAGATGTTTCAAATCATCATGGTGTTGAATTTTTCATCAAAGGTACCCACATCCTAAACAAACCTGTGTTTCAATATTTGATGGTCCACATGTAACAGAAGACGGACATCCCGCTGCACTGAAGATGAACCTGTGATTGAGAGCGCACACTTCTAGGAAATACAACATCCTCGTGATGTGATGCAGTTTATATCTGTGCTGAGATCGTCTCGCTCTCACACGTATCGTATGATTGTTGTCACTGAATTTACTGCGCTTTGATGACACACAGGGATGCCGGCCCGATCTCGCGGTCGGGGATGGACACATGAATGCGCAGGATGCATGAGTGTAAACAAATACAAATATCAACCTCTCCTCTGTCTATCTGATAAGCACAAACACACACACACTCTCAGCTCTATCAGGCTCATCTTACAGCCCGGACTGTCGCTCTTCATTAGCTGCTTCACTGTCGGTTACTTTATACAGAGTGAGTGCAGCTGATCGGCATCTCAGTCAAAATATGCAGGACACTAAATACAGCTGAAGCCCACTGATGTTATGTTACATGATATTATACTCTATGAATATTCAAAATAACTGCACGAGCCACTTTGTCTGCAGGCTTACACTTGGATAGTGGATCTGACCTGAATTCCTCTTGAATGTTTAGTTACTATTTTGGACCGTGAAGCAAAACAGACTCATGAGGTCGAAAAGTGACTTTAGTTTGCACCGAATGTTCACTGTGTGTCCTATAAATCCTTTACCTAAGGTTGTGTTTTGTCTTCGGTCTGCTTTCAAAGCTTTCTGCAGATCATCACATCCATCAGATTTTCCAAGGCCGATCACGAGGGCGGCAAAGTCCTTAATAACCTCTGAGTAAAATCTGACAAGTGAAACTGACACATCCTGACACTTTGATTGTCTATCAGTCCAGTGAGTGACATCTTCTTCAACTTGCTTTTACTTCATGTGACTCTTACTGTCTCTCTTTATGATCATCCTCTCGACAGTTTGTCTGTTTCTCTTTGTTTTTGTTTTTTAGAAAGCTTGTTGTCCCCGAGAAGATTCCCCCTAAAGCCTGAAGTGTTTGCTGTCCGCGGTTTCAGTGCCTGGATGCCCAGTTGAGTATGAGCTTGAATAAGCCCAAAACAATGTCTGATAGTTTTGAGAAGAATAGTTCTTCTGACTGTACTGAATCTTTAGAATCTGTTCATTAAAATTATTCGCTCAAAAGATTCATCTCCTGAATCAGTCAGTGCTTTAGAGCCCCATCCTGCCAGGTGCAGTTCATGAGTGAGTGACAGCGGCGTAGATCAAAAGTTCGTTCATTGAGTGAGTTCCTCCCCTCCCCTGCTGCTGAAGTCTCAGCGTCGTTCACTGGGTGTAGCATGTCGTTCGTTCGCCAAGTCGTGAAGGAAGAATCACTCCCCCACCTCTCTGTGTGTCACCGACGTTCACATCTCGATTAAAACAACACAGAAACGAGAATGAGTCGTCATTCATTTATTTTGCAGAAAAGTGGAGAGAATAAAAATAAATGAACATCGTAGCTGTACCGTGGATTCTGATACTTTTAAAGATATCAAATGGCAGTTCCTGGACAACGCTACACCCCTCCCTCCTCCACCTGCCTCAAGTCGTTCAGAAGTCATTCGCTTGTTCACAGTCTGACTGATACATGTCATTCATTCGCTGTGAGCAAATCACGAGACTCCGCCCGCCCGCCCGCTTGTTCTCTGGCTGGTTGTGTGTCGTTCAGCAAAGAGTCAAAGGCGGCAGTTCCACTCCCAACCGGTATGCCACGCTCACGGCTGGGCTCAACTGAACTGAGAAAGGAACGAATCAGGTCTCAGAGTGATTCCATTCACATTGTTCACTCAGCAGTTCTGTTTTTTTGAATGAATCGTTCATGAACAACACAAGATTAATGTTTGAGAACTGTATGAAGATATCTAAAAACACGCCGTGAACGAGCGCAGACAGCTCAAAAGTTTGCTTTTCAGGAACGATGCCTCTGAAGCAAACAACCCGTGTCTTTGTTTTCCCTGGGAGGTCAGTCTCACATGATTTGTTACCTGTATGCCGTAACACGTGAAGCTGCAGATGAACAACGGGGTAATAACTAGAGGTTGAGACCTCCCATCACTTTCCTCTGTCTTTTCCTCTGTGTCTTCCCCGTTATTTCCAAGAAACAGCTGAATCCCGCTGTGACCTTGCTCCGCTCGATTCACCTCCGAGCTCCACCTCGCTGAGCAGTAAAAAAAAAATGAAATAAAAAAGATAAGAGGCTATCCGTCTTAGAGAGAGAGAAAAGGAGGACAAGCAGAAGAAATGAAAGACATCCTGGATACGGAAGGAGGGGAAAGGGTGAGGAGAAAAATTAAGGTGGAGATAGACTAAAAACAGAGAAGGAGGATGGAAGGAGATGTGCGATGAGGAAAAGAGTGAGGTGAGGGGACTTAAAGGAGTCATATGTCAAAAAGGAAATAGAGGAGGAAATGACAAAAGCAGAAGATAAAGAAGAAGAGAAGAAGAAGAAAGGGGAGTTAACATTTATCACTGAATTCATAAAGAGCCTGTCAATGCAAAGATGGAGGGCGAGAAAAGGAGAGAAAGAGCGGTCGTGAGGCAGAATAAAGGGCGGAGGAGCTCAGTAAAGGATTCCAGTATATCAATATGAAAGAGGGAGAGACAGCTTTAAGTGATTTAGTCAATAAGATGTTCTTCTGCCGGCCTTGACTCTCAGCTGCCTCACCGACTCCTGCTCCTCCTCACATCCTTTTCTCTTTTTTTCAAACCTTTTAACCAGCCGCAGAGAAATGACACGTTTCACAGGAGAAGGAGAGGAGGTCAAACCGTTTTACTGCTTATAGCTTACATATAAAACCAGGCGCTGTCGTTTCAGGTTTACACCCATGTCTCACATGTCCGTCTACTGGAGTGAATCAAGAGACGGATTCCCGGGGGCTCTTCTGTCTTCTGTGTGTGCGACTCGTTTTGACCCCTTCATGAGGATGAAATCATTTACAGTTAATATTCTCCATTAGAAATGCCACAACCTGCAGTTTTATGGGTTGTTGCCGCTGAGGTATCCAGTTTGCATGATATCATATCTGGATGCTCATACTCCCACACATCTTATTTGATTTCTTCTGCAAGCTGCTGCCAAAAATGGGGGTTGTATTGGCTCTCTAACACCTCCTTTTATGTCATATGCATATAGATTATTCGACGGTTGTACTTCTAGAGAGCTTCTCAAAGCAACAAACCAATTTTTCTGTCTTTTTTTTCTGACCCTCTTGATTTCACACGATGCTTTTACTCTGAAGTTGTGTCCAAAATTGTTATTTAGTGAATAAAGTAACTCACAGAGCTCTTTTCTGAAGCTTACACTGAACTTTGATTGAAAAAAATGATCATAATTCACATTGGCTGCAGGTAAGCTATGTTAGTTATTAAAGGGATATTCCAGCATAAATTTAAGTTATGGTCAAACACACCATAACACCGAGTTAGACACCCCCTCGAGAGATGAATGTTGCTAACTGCTTGCTTCTCTAGTTTTACCAACTTTAGTAACGACCGCAGGATAGCAATACAAGGAGCCACACACTCAACCAAAACGCCACTCTATAGCCACAAATAATGCTCAGAACAGCACCTAACTTCATCATCAGTACATATAGGGTCCCAGCCATAGTACTAGACACCAAACATCTTTTTAACTTTGACTAATTTCTTTAGCAAAGAGAGTAAACACAACTCACCTACTCTCCTCCAGCAGCTGCTTGTTTGTGGGGGAGCCCTGACGATAATCATCATATTAATCATTTTGTACTGCAGACATGGTAATTCTTCTGCCTTAGCGTCTCGGTCTAATTGCATTTCCATGAAGTAATAATTATAAGTGTTCTTCCTTGAGCTGCGAAACTCCGCTGCACTCAGTGATCAACTTGTCAGGGTGTATTGCTATCGTGTGGTCATCACTGAAGTTGGTATAACTAGAGAAGCAAACAGTCGGCAACATTAATCTCTCGACAGGGGTGTCTAGCTCTGCGTTACGATGTGTTTGACCTTAACTTAATTTTACGCCGGAATAGCCCTTTAATAACTACTTAATACCAGTTCACAGGGACTTTTCCATCTTTTGCAACTACCCTCTCTTTTTGCAGCCCTGCAACAGCTGACCCCTTATCATCCCTTTGAAAACATGATGTAAAACTCTTGAGATGATGCAAAGGCGCTGATTTCTGGTGTGAGAGGTGTTCTAGTTTCGACATCCAAGTTCAAGTAATTCAGTTGGCTGTGATTGTTTGTGTGTAACGAGCCTCTGTGGAGAGCAAAGAGATGACAACCACGACACACAATCTGGCATTATGAAACCAGGATCCCATCAACTGCCATCTGACGCTGATTAATCTGTAATTAATCTATATATCAACTCACATCTGCATGCAAGTGCTGCTCACAAACAGCTCATGGGTTTGGTCTTAATTCCTCGTTCAGTTTTGAGGTAATTTTCTGCTAATTTTTAACTCCTTTGTTTATAATTTGTCACTTCCTCATATGTTCTGGAGGTTTGTTTCACACTAACACCAGTTTATCCCCGTTTATGTAGGAAACGCCACACCAACAAGTCATCAAAACTCTTCCAGAGGCTAAAATTTGACTTAGTCTTCTGAAAATACTCAAATTACAAAAACTGCAAAGGCTTTTAAGACTCTATTCATGTTTTCAGTTCCCTCTCTAACCACACATTTCGTCCCAAGCCTACCTCTGCAAATCAGCTCTTATTCCTCAAAATGTGCTGAAGGAATACATTTGACTTGATTTGCATGAAAATACTGATTCTCAAGTCTTTATTCATTTTTCTTGTTTTATCATTTCCAATGATTATCTAAAAAAGAGGCTGCATGCTCTCAGGTCTCATGTAGCATCATTTTTTGTCTCCTGACTCTTTATGTAGATCAATCTTTGAACGCACAGATGCAAATAAAAGCAGGGTGCCTCAGGATCACAAGAAATTAGCAAATGTATCAGAAAAATGCGTTCTTTACAGCGAATGACTCATGCGGAGAGGAGCAGAGGGAGCTGTGTGTGTGTGTGTGTGTGTGTGTGTGTGTGTGTGTGTGTGTGTGTGTGTGTGTGTGTGTGTGTGTGGTGTTTGTCAGTGGGTGAGAAAATGTGCCGGTTTCATTTTTTGAGATTGCACAGAGAAGGAACACGGTGTGCATTACAAACTCGGAGCAGTGGTGGAACTGATTTCAGATCATTTCACACATACAAACACACAAGTACGCATGTGTTAACGCACGCTGGCAGATCTGTGCACACACTTGTACAAAAGCACTTTTCACACATAGTCTCACAAACACACACTCGCCGCTCACAGAGCCAGTGTCAGTGGAGGAGACAGATGCATGGTGACAGGGCTGCAGTGCTCTGGATTAATACACTTAGTGTTCCACATGTCAAAGCGCATCACTGCAATCATGAACATTTTAGGCATCTCTCTCTCTCTCTCTCTCTCTCTCTCTCTCTCTCTCTCTCTCTCTCTCTCTCTCTCTCTCTCTCTCTGTCAACCGTCCCTCTCTCTCTCTCCTTGATTACTTCTAACGCCGAGACCAGCTGTCCAATCATTCAGCCATCCAGCCAAGCAGTCGGTCACCCAGCAAACTGGCAAACATCAAGCTGGCAGACCAACACCCACCAACCAGCGCACTCACGCTGGGGACGCCGACAACCTGCCACCGACAAAACAACCCAGCGCACCAATGCACCCCAACATCAGAGGACAAACAAGGCCGCCAAATCAACTGGAGACACTTCCACTCGGACTAGAAACATGTCTGCAAGACAGACCTAATTCGCAAACTAACCCATGTATTTATTTGAGTCTGGCTTCTCTCAGAAGTATTTTACAGAAACTGCTCTTCTCGGGGTAAAGAATGATTCGCGAATGTTGGACCCCAATGTCACCTTTGATACTGTATACAGTTTGTTAATTCAGTGGCTCAGACAGTGGGGGTTTAAATTCTGATTTTCCTCTTAATTGAATATTTTCAGTCACTGTTTCTGAATACGTCTCATCAGTAAAGACTTTGTTTTGTGGGGTCCCTCAGGGTTCTGTCCTGGGTCCTCTGTTATTTCTTCATTCCTGCTCACACTGGATCATCTTGTACAGACTTTTATTTCTCTACTTTCAGCTTTTAAACCTGATAATGCCTCTTAATTGTCTTTTTTACTTGACTCTATGAACTGTATTCAAGCTAAAGATAGCAGATCATTCCCTTTAGCTAAACATTGATGAAAAAAGAGGTTCAGCTGTGCCTGATGTGTTTAAAATTCTTGGTGACCTATCCTCTGCTGTAAATCCTGCCCTCTGAAATCTTAACATCCAAATGAGTCGGGCTTTGACTGTGGATCTGCATGTAAATTTTTGGTTTTCTCCTCTTTTTACCATTTCAGAAATAATGTGACACTCTGGCCCCTTGTGTCCAAGGCTAAGTATGAAATGATTGCCCGTGCTTTTGTTTCATCTTGGTTAGATTATTGTAATTCTCTGTTCACCTGTTAAAGCGGCAAGTCTTTAAAACTGCCTGAAGCCATATAACTCCTGCAGGACTCTGAGGTTCTTCAATCAAGGTTTTATGAACGTTTCAGATCATTCAAAGTTAAAACTAAATGAGACTGTGCATTTGGGGTTGTTGCTCCTAAACTTTGGAAATGTCTAGCGGCCAAATTATAGACTGGAACTCTCTCCTGCACACCCCTTCAGTCTTCGAAGTGACAATAACCTTAAAGGACAGCTTCAACCGCTCTCCTTTTTTTCCTCTTCCTCTCTTAACAGGTGCATACAGATGTATACCTTATAATTTGTCAGTTTATGACCTGTTGTCCCAAAAAGATCATTCTTATTTTGCAATGACAAAATGGTTTTCTATACTCAGGTAATTTAAAACATTTTTATAGGTAGACACCATGCATAAAAGGGCTCTATCATGTGCAGACAAACCAGACTTCAATTCATTTAATACAGACCAAGAATTAAGGAAACATATTGGTAATAGAGTCAACTGGTGAGCTGGTCATTCAAGGTCAATAAACAGTTGAAGGTTGAGACCATAAGAGGCCTGACTCAGGAGGAATGCTGCTGCCATGACAAAGATGTCATGCGTAAAGATCTCCGGGGATCACACGCCACTTTGTGTGCATGTGGGTTGGTGCATTAATCTCCACTGGTATGAGCACAGGCATGCTGATGTGAGCATGCAGAGGTGCAGATGGGAGGTGCTGAGGAAGCAGAAGGTCAAGAGGGGTCAAAACAGTCACAGTCACTGCATTCATATCATTTTAGGACCCCCTGTTGGGTTTTACAGCCAATGTTTGCCTTTACAGGATGTTTATTTTGGCGTCTTACCAAGACAACCACATACTGGACGTCCAGTGTTCGCTCATGATCGCGAGACATCACATCGGTTCAGTCGCTCAAACTGAAGTCTAATCAGGAAACAACAGAAGGCTGGAGTTTGGCTAGAGAGTTTTCTGTGTATGAGATTTTTGGGTTGAACACCAAGGTCAGTTACACTTCCTTCCTCCCTCGGCATCCATTGTCGAACCGTCCTTGAACAGGACACAAGATCCCAGGCTCCTTTGGTATAGCTGTTAAGTGCCCAGCGTGTTGTTCAAGTGCGCTGTTCAGTCATAAAACTTTATTTTTATCACATATTTCCCACCAAGAAAGCATCTGAAGGCTCTTTACAAGCAGCACTGTTTCTGTGAAGCAGAGCGAACACAGAAACAAAAGGAACATTAAGAGCAATTAGTGTCAAAAGAAACAAAATAAGTCAAAGAAACTGCTGTAAAACTATGATGCAGTTCATGTGTTCGGTTCTGCAGCACTGAGATACTAACTTAAGGCACTGTGATGCATTTCCACCTCCAAATGGTCCTGTTTATATGAGTGCTTTGCTGTTGTTTTGCTCTGTTTAGCAGGTTAGCTTTACTTTATAGAGCAGTATGTTCTTGAGAGCATATCACAAAAAGGGTTAGCCACTCTCTACTATTCCCTGATAACTCCATACATGACTTATTGCATTGTGATTTGGGGAAACACTTATAAAACAAATACAAACCCAATATTTATTTTACAAAAGCAAGTCATAAGAATCATCTGCAATAAACATTCCCGTGAATCAACTCATCCCCTTTTTACTTCCTTAAATGTTTTAAAATTCAAAGACCTAGTAGATTACATCACAATACAAATCATGTACAAAGCCAAAAAAGAAAATGTCAAAGAGAAAAAATGTCAAAAATTTTTGTCTGTAAAAGGGGTGAAAATATGGAACAATTGTCCGGTAAAAAATTATAAAATGTTGTCCTCTGGTAAGAAACTTTACAAGAATAATATTATTTCTCAATATTGTAGAGAAAATGATGTATGATTATTAATGTAAAGTGTAAAGATATTCATTACTCTATCTGATTTGAAGAGTGAATATATATTGAAGTTTTGATCTTTGTATAAAGAGAGTGTATCTGTATAATGTACTCCATGTATGGTATAAGGGGTAGGTCTTTATAAGCATTGCTTCTGCCTACGCCCGATGCGGTCTCTGAAATGAGACACAGCCTTGGATTATTTCCTGTTATGTACTTTGAACCGCGCTCCTGTCAGGGGTGCATTCTACGTCATAACACCTGTTGAACACCGGCCTTCATTAACCGCCATTTTGAAGTTGCACATGCGCATTCCCTCCTCTCTATCCAGGCGGGAGCTGGGGGACCGGAAGAACTTAACCGATCTGCGGGCCGCTAATTTACGACTGTTTGTAGTAACAAGTACTGTGTGTGTCACTGAGTACCGATTAACCGAAATTTAAGGACTCTATAATCGCTACTTTTGGTCAAATATTCGCCAACTACACCAGTTTAAGCAGAAACACGGTATTTTACTGTTGTTGACACCAGGGCTCTCAAGTTTTGAACTAAGCTTAGAGTGAGATTTCCTTGGGGGGGGGGGGGGGGGGGGTAGTATAATAATCTAATAAATACAATGGAGTATGAGGGCCACATTAAGAAAGAAAAAAACATTTTTAAATCTTTGAGATTAAAGTTATTATTTAGGAGAATAAAGTCATTAATGACTTTAAGAATAAAGTAGTAAAGTTACCTGTTGTGGAGGAGAGTTGTTAAAATCAGCACTGAGGAGCATTTAGATGAATTGTACTTTAGTATAGGTTTCACAGACATGGAGATACTTAATCCTTTGGTATATCAGCATTACACTGTCACGAGTATCGGAACTTTAAAAAGAATATATGAGAAATGCTGCTTTTGTGGAGGGGAAATGGCTGTACAGAGGCTAAATTCATCAATGCAGCTGTTAACAGCAATAGCATAGGGCTTTAGTTTATCATATGAGTTTATCTGCCATGAGGTGTTGAGGTCTCTGCATGTGTCGGTTACTGACTTACTGTAATCATCGGGTCTTTCTCGTCCTTATAAAAACCTGCTCTATTTCAGCAAGTGTCTGTCTTCTTCTGTAGTCAAACCGCAAGATATCAAAATCTATCCGGATACAGCAATGCCGCTTTTTGATTGGCTGTTCAGTAGATATACTTTATTTGCTGGGGGACCGGAAGAACTTAACCGATCTGCGGGCCGCTAATTTACGACTGTTTGTAGTAACAAGTACTGTGTGTGTCACATCACCATGTTCATTTAAATGCGTGAGAAATACAATGTGTGGCGTGTGAGCGTGTGAACAGGTGGGAATGCGTGTGTCTCACGCTGAATGCGTGAGACTTGAGAGCCCTGTGACACTCTGTGGACTCAGTAGTTATGGAAAATATGTCAAAGAGAAAGCTCCGTCCATCATATATTGACCCTGAATCCAGTTATTTAAACCCAAAAGGAACAACAACAGTTGAGTTTCAGGTGTTAGCTGGATTGAAGATGTTAGTTAGTTTATCCAGCAGCCCGATGAGGCTTCTTCTCCGTCAGGTTAAAGACTGGCCTCTGGAGAAAAAGATCCATCAACACAGGACAGCTAAGCCCAGCAACTGGTTTCTGGGAGAAAGACTGCCTTCACTTCTCTTTGTGGACCTAAATGGACCCCCTGTGGACACATTTGATCCAGAACCGTTCCTGAGATCCTGGACTACAACAGGACATCGAATCTTGGGGACCAGGATGGCCACAAACAGAAGATGAGTCCACTAAGGTCAGAGAAAAAGTTCTGATTTAAAGTTGTTCTAACTGAACTGAGATACACAGTCTGCTGTGTTTGAGGGGAAAAGGACAGTGATTAATGTGTATGTGTGTGTATTGGCTTCTTGTGTGCGTGCGAGGCAGAGTCAGTGCGTGTTTATTGCTGGTTTGTGGCATCAGTGTCAGTATGAGCTCTGTTGAAGTGTGTCTGCAGTAGTTATACAGTATATACTATATAGTATTATATGCAGTAGTTGTGAATTGTGAAGTGTCACACCGAAGCAGTAGGGGAGAGTGGGGTAAGATGAGCCCTTTTTCATATTTCAGATCACTTCATCAAGACAATCATAGTTTTGTCTCTAACTAGTGAATATGCATATATTTCAGGATGTCGTTCATCCCTGCAAACCAACAGAATGAGTGTAAACAGAACTGTAATCTTGATAATATAGCATGTCAAAGAAAAGTGGTTTCCCATGGTCACCTTAGCCCGTGTATGGGGTAAGTTGACCATAGGAGCGGGGTAAGTTGAGCCGTATCCGTCCTCCCTCACCTTCTCTCTCCCTAAATAACAGTCACTTCTTCACATTCATATGTATTTTTATCTATTATATGCTATTCAACTGGTACAATAATTCTATAACTGCTAAAAAGTTGTTTCGTATAACTTTCCTATACTGTATAAGCGCTCCATATGTTGTATGTTGTATGTTGTAAGACACACTTCCTGATTCGACTTGCACGTTAGCTGCAAAATCTGTTGTTGCACCTTGTATAGAATTATGTCTATTTTGGATTTAGTTATAGCTCCCCCTGCTGGTTATTTAAATAGCGTCAATTGCGCTAATTTTACACACATATGATGTTTGCTTTCAGTCATCAGATTTCCGACTTCGTGCAAGCGGTGAATATGTCCTGTTACTTGCTTGTTTAAAATGGCGCTGCGGTGGAATGATGCATTTATTTAGGTTTTATTTGACTGTACATTGACCATGCTGCAGCATAATTAGGATATTATTTAATCAAACTTTTATTAATCAGTTTATCTTGATGAGAGAGGTGAACTTCCAGTATCCAGTTTGTTTTTTAACCTCGCTCTTTAAACCCAGTGCACCCTTTTAAAGCACGTTATCAGATTGTGAGCACAGACAGTGTGTCAGCATATCCTGTCTGCTTACACCTGGAATCAGCACCACACCGCCTCACTTTCCCAGACAAAGTGACACTCAGCAAAAAAACAACACTGCCATAGGTGCTGTTGTGTTTTCCCAGAGAATAAAATACGAGTTTAAGTTTGAGCTTACTTCCCTCCTCCTAGTTGTTTATAAAGATAAATCCATAACCTCTCACTGAGCAGCTATGGTCTAAAGACGCTCTCCTCTGTTCTTCCTCTGAAGCGTCTTCGTTTCCTGTGAGGAGTTTGTTTGTTGGCCACGATGGTGATGGAGCTGTAAACGCCAGTCAGAGCGTGACTCTAATCCCTGAGCTGGATCTCAAAGTGTTTAAAGCTAAGCCTGTTCCTTACACTGAGCTTTCTGGAACGAGGCAGCACCACCTGCTTCAGCTGGCTGCCGGCCAGACTGGACACACAAACACACGCGCAGACACGCACACTGATGCATGTAGGTATGTGACCCACTA